CTCTGAGCTTCATGTCTATACCTACAAAAACAAAGTAGTTGACCTACTTTAAGGAGTTGCTGAAAGAACTATTGAGAATGTACTCAGTATGCTTTGAACTCTACTGTCTATTCTAATAGATGCTATCAGACTCAGACCCTTCTCTTCAACTATACCTGAAGTTACTAGAAATTCAGTCCACTCAATTAAGTGCTTACTACCTTGAAAACACAAATTTCCTTAGCTAGCTTTTGAAGCATCTACAGCTTACCATGGAGCTCCAAAACAGCACTGGCAAATCTGAGTGTTGAGATCCTAGATCAATCTTAGGCTTTGTCTAATTCATTACTTGCTATAGATCAAAAGTGACTTCTACTTCTTACTCTTGCTGAAAGAAATTATACTTGCAGTCAACCAAGATTTAAACTTGAGAAAAGGGTTATACTATTTCAGGAACAAGTATGGAAGCTAAAGACTAAAAACAACAGATTAAGGGAAAATCTAAGGAAAGCATTTACTAAAACATGACCAAAAAAACCCAGAAAAAAATAAACCTCACGCCTACAATATGGAGAATTTTCCAATATATTAGGAACTGTGGAATTCACATACTGAAAATGATCTTGACTGCAGGCTTATCAAATCAGTTGGCTGTTCAAATATTTAAAGTTTATACTAAATGGGCTGCAAAAGTCTCATAAAATTAATTAAAAACCATTGCTGGCAGATACCATGCAATGGAATTCCTCAAACACTCCACACATGGCTCCATTAGTTTCCTTGTTCCTCTGTGCCTTGGAACTCTAAGTTTTCAAAGCAGCCTTTTATCTTGTGAATCTTTGATATTTTCACAACCAAAGCTATGACAACATAGTTTTGCTCTATCTTTGACAACGTATTTGCTTCTATATGAAGGCATTCAATCACAGTGATAAATGTACCCAGCAAAGGCATCTCATTTTCACTTGATTTACAAGTGAACAATTTTACCAACACCCCACCAGTGGGACACAAGGTAGGTCATGGTAATTGCAACTACTTCAACACTTCACACCTCTGTCTGGAGAGACAGATGATGCAAGGAAAATAGCAGAAGCATATTCCATATGGCAAAACTGTTTAAGACCAAAGGAGGGAGGAAGACATTTCGTGGTCCGTGCGCCGGTAAAGAACGCGGACTCCTTGCAACTACGGAGGGGGAAATGTACCAGAGGCGACCATTTGGAGAACGCCGGCTAGAAGAGTCCTTCCCTTTTTCTGCTCCTTGAGCCGACATGCTCATCGTTACAAGGGCATCTCCAAGTTACCCGGTCTTTCTTGGCCCAGTCTTTCTGGGCGAGTGTTTACAAGTCCCGCAAGGTACAAACGCGGGTCTGTGACAAAACATTACTCGCCGGTGGACGACGCGGCAGGGCTCAACGGGAGCCCTTTTGTGACATGCCTAACTCGTCCCTCAACTAAGGAAGAGAGATCTCAAGGAAGGAAGAAGGGCTGACCCAGGCTTCGCGTGCGGAGAGGGGAGGCCTCGCCGTCTCCACACACTGAAACTGAGGGGAGCTCAGGACCCTCCATGGAGGGGCAGCGACGGTCCAGTCACGCCACGCCGGGCGCCCTTGGCGAATATGCGACATGGCGAACATCCGCCCCACCTCAGCCCGCCCAGAGTTTCGCGACCGATGCGGGCCGGTCTCGGAGACTGCGCAAAGCAGCGCTGCCCGCCCCTATCCCTCCTCCGCTTGTCGGCTACCCCAGAACAAGCTCGAGGGGTTCGGTCTCCCCGCCATACCTCTTTCCTTGTCCGCCCCAAAGGCCCCACTCGCTGCTTTCTGGGATGGAGTCTCAGCCGCCTGCGCGCAGCCGCCCCCTATCGCAGCGTGCACTCCGGCCCAACTGCGCAGCCGCCATCTCGCTTCTTCCGCCAGGCTGCCGCCGGAAGCACTTGCGCCAGAGTTGTCTGGGGCCGTCTTCTCCAACCTTGTGCCTTCCAGACACGTTTGGACCGCAACACCCAGGATTCCTAGTTAATGGCCGTGCTGGCTGGGAATTCTGGGAGCTGTGGTCCAAATGCCTCTGAAGGCCACCTGGTTGGGGAAGGCTGTGCTATGGGGCCGCGCGCCGGAGCGAGACATGGAGACAGTCCCTTACGAGCGCCCTCGGGGTGTGTGTGTGTGTGTGTGGAGGGGGAGCACTATATCGCTTTCCCACAGATAGAGAATGAGAGAGGCTATAGTTTGGGGGTGGAACTTGCTGGATTCTTTGTTGCTAGTCTCAAAGTCGTACCCGACCCATCGCGACCCCATGGACAACATTCTTCCAGGCCTTCCTGTCCTCCACCATCCCCCGGAGTCCACTTAAGCTCAAGCCGACTGCTAGGGTGACTCCATCTAGCCACTTCGTTCTCTGCCGCCCCCTTTTGCCATCAGTTGTTCCCAGCATTAGGCTCTTCTCCAGGGAGTCCTTCCTTCTCATTAGGTGGCTAAAGTATTTGAGTTTACTTCAAATATCTGGCCTTCTAAAGAGCAGTCAGGGTTGATCTTCTCTAGGACTGACTGGTTTGATCGCCTTGCAGTCCAAGGGACTCGTAGGAGTCTTCTCCAGCACCACAATTCAAAGGCCTCAATTCTTCGGCGCTCAGTCTTCCTTATGGTCCAACTTTCACAGCCATACATTACAACTGGGAAAACCATAGCCTTGACAATACACGCTTTTGTTGGCAGGGTGATGTTTCTGCTTTTTAGTATGCTGTCTAGATTTGCCATAGCTTTCCTCCCAAGGAGCAAGCGTCTTTTAATTTCTTGGCTGTAGTCCCTGTCTGTGGTGATCTTGGAGCCCAGGAAAATAAAATCTGTCACTACCTCCATTTCTTCCCCATCTATTTGCCAGGAAGTGAGAGGACCGGATGCCATGATCTTAGTTTTCTTAACGCTGAGTTTCAAGCCAACTTTTGCACTCTCCTCCTTCACCCACATCAAGAGGCTCTTTAGTTCCTCTTCACTTTCTGCCATTAGAGTGGTATCATCTGCATATCTGAGGTTGTTGTTATTTCTCCCAGCAATCTTAATTCCAACTTGTGATTCATCTAGCCCCGCCTTTCTCATGATGTGCTCTGCATATAAGTTAAATAGGCAGGGTGACAGTATACAGCCTTGCTGAACTCCTTTCTCAATTTTGAACCAATCAGTGGTTCTGTGTCTGGTTCTCACTGTTGCTTCTTGACCTGCATATAGATTTCTCAGAGTCAGATAAGATGGTCTGGCATTCCCATCTCTTTAAGAACTTGCCACAATTTGTTGTGATCCACACAATCAAAGACAGTACATTTTCCCAAAAGAGGGTTTTAAACAGTCCCACAAGGAGCTGTTCTGGGAACATCACTTTTAAACGTTTTAATGAATGATCTGGAATTAGAAGTGAGCAGCAAATTGGCCAGGTTTGCTATCACCAAATGGTTTAGAATGGTTAAAACAAGAGACCCAAATATATTTATTTATTATATTTATATCCTGCCTTTCTCCTTTCAAGGAACTCAAGGCAGCTTCTTATATATCTCTCCTCCTTTCAGTCTTATCCATACATCAAGAACCCTGAGAGTTAAGTTGGGCCCAGAGTCTGTGACTGAGCCGAACTCACTGTTAGCTTCATGGCTGCATGGGACCTAAAACCTGGATCTCTTGAGTCCCAGGCCTGTACCCTTAACCACTACACCACATTAGCTTCTCCCAGATTGGGAGATGAGCATCAAAACTGTAAATATGGGTCACTGTAAGGAAGTGTAAACTACTGACTTACATTGGAGTAAAACATCCCAACTTCATGTATAAAAAGATGAGCTAGAAGTAACTGATCAACAAAGAGACCTTGGTGTTACAGTGGACAGCTCAATGAAAATATCAGCCCAGTTCATAGCTGTTGCAGAAAGGGTAAATTCCATGTTAGGCATAATTAACTAAAGAATGGAAAATAAACCTAGCAATACCATGCTACCTTTACACAGATCTAGCTGACAAAGAGTACAGTAAAGTTCGGAAAAACACCAAAAACAACAACGGGAAGTTTTTCTTTTAAAAGATTTTTCTTGAGACCAATGAATAGCTACCAATGAATAATTCCAGATGGCACACCTGAGCAGTCCTAAGTTGGCCCTTTTATACACTGATCATTAGAGGGTTACATGTAACACAGAAGTTACAGAAGTAAAAAGTTACAATGTGTTGTTCCCAACTTGCATACCAAAGATAAAGATGTTCCAAGGGAGCGGGGAAGGATGGGGTGGTTTGGTGTGAATTGCACTTTCTTTGAGGTGCTGTTATCTGTCACGTGCCAACTAGCTTTCTCTGGTGCCTGGTGAGTGCCAGCTACCTTTCAAGGATGCATACATGCTGATTTCCAGAAAAGGGTTTTTCTCAGACCTGGTTATGTGTCAATGCTTGCCTGATAAAATCTAAGTTATAGCTGTTGATTTGTACAACAAATCAATTCCTTATGTCAGACTGTGTGTGAGAGAGGAGTGATTAATCCAAAATCCTTACACTGTAATAATGCCTTCAATAGGCCAACTCAAATATCACAAAAATGCTTTGATGATCTTTGAGTTAGCCGAATAAACACCAAGCTTATATGGATTTCTTCTTGCTGGTCACAAGACTGCTTTCATTTTTGTAAGTCTATGGATTTTACTGCTTCTTGCAATGGAAAAGATCGAGCGGCTTCATGAAGAGTAGCTAAGCGACTAAAACGATCACATGATGCCTTTCTATTTCTGCTAAACATCTATCACGTGTGTCATGCTAGTGATTGTCTACTCCGATGGTATACAGGCCGCTATATTTTTTGCAGTCGTACTTATTCGACAGCCGTTTCTCTCTTGGACTTACCGTAGGTGGAAGTGCCATTCTTTCTATATTCATACCGTCTATATTAGCTCTATATTTCGGCCGGTGCTTATACGTCACTTCCGGAAGAGAGGAGAGCGCGTCTCGCCCAACGGCGAAAGGCCAGCGCTCGAGGGAGGCGGAACGGGCGGCCGCACCGCCCTTTGGTAACCAAGAGGAGTCACGTGACGGCGCTGAGCGCTCAGCTGAGGAAAGGACCGCCCGGCCTTTTTGCAGTTATCTCCGTCGGCTACTCCGGCAAGGATGTCGGGCAAGGACAGGATTGAGGTCTTCCCCTCGCGCATGTGAGTTGCTCTTCCCTTCTAGTCCCTGCTCAGAGCAGCTCTTTTACGGAGCCGCTCTGAGCGAGGATGGCCCAGACAGTCTTTTGCCTGCGCCACCGCTACTCCCGCAGGCTGACACCGAATGTCGAGGACGCTTTGCTGTCCAGTTTGACCTCCTGCGGAGTAGAAACCCCCGATCACCCTTTCTCCCCCGTCTCTCTTACACAACCGCGGTGGTGTAAAGGGGTGCGTCTTTTCACTTTGCTAAGGCAGGCTAATTTTTAAATTGGGGTTGTGATGCTAAGAGTTCGATGAATACTACTTATTTTGGATCGCTTAACTCAGAGTTAAATAATATGTGTGGAGTGCTGGATTTGACACGACGCACTCCCAGTTCAGACAAGCAGAACCTACAGGTTTAAGAAAACTGGGAAGTGAAAATGATGTCCTTTTCAGCAAGTGCTTTGTCATGTAGTCAGATGTCTTTGACAGTTATGGAACAGGGTTGTCACTGTCTCTGAAAGGTCAGAATGTGTCATAGCAGAGGTATTGGACAATTTTTAAATACATTTTTAACTGGAAAAAGAAAAGATCCCATGTAATATTAAACATGTAAAGCCTATTCATTTTAGATGGTTTTGGATGTGCCTAATAGTCAAGAATCATTAAAGTATTGACACCAAACTCTTCTTTACAGTTGGACTGGAATCCAATGGATATCTGCTTTAAGTTCCGTTAAATTTAATGAGGCTTAATTCTAGATATGTGTGTATGAGTTTGCAGTGTAGGTGTTCTTAATTGTATGGGAAGATAATTCTATGGTTGAATATAAAAAACAGAACCATCACTTACTGTGATCAAAAAGACTGCTCTTTCTAGCTCTGGTCCTTTGGAATACTTACGTACACAGAATCATTTTGAATGTGAAATGCCCACCCAGTGATACTACTTGTCAATCTACAATGATCTGTTCTTCCCACTTTTGCTATAAGTATATATTCCTGTAGGCATAAAACTTGTGAGATCAGGCATGTTTCCAGTAGGTTTGCTGAATCTGATGTGACATTCTTGACAGTAAACAGAACCATGTTTAAATGCATACACACAGTTCTGCTGGATCTTGTTTCAACCAGTAAATGAGTGAGCCTGAGATAGGAAAGTAACTGGTGTGAGCGAGTTAGTGCAAGAATGCAAAATCCATATCTACCTTTTTAAAAGTTTGTTCTCTTCCTGGAGGGAGCAATTCTATGGTCCCCAGACAATATCTGAAGTGCCATGGGATAGTTTGGATTCCCAAATCTGGGGCTGAAGACAATGCTCTGATCTCAGAACTGAGAATTGGAGATGTGCTTCCTTGCAGCTAGCTTAGAAAGAATCATGCCAGCTGTTCTCCAGTGCTGAAAAACTGACCTTGGAAAAGAGATTGGTTTTTTGGGTGGTGGGGTGGGGGGAGAGGAGGCTGTATGTTAACCCACAACCAGACAATTACAAGCATATGGGGAAATGTTATGTGAACCAGTGTTTTTTCCCCTGTTGTTTAAAAATGAACCTGATTCCTCCAAAGGAAATTAGTGTCTCACTGATCTTTTAGAGTTCTTTAAGAATGTCAGTAAATATGTGGACAGGTGTGATTTGGTAGACATTGTTTACTTAGACTTTCAAAAGACCTCAGTCAAGGTCTCTCACCATAAACTCCTAAGTAAACTCAGCAGCCATAGTATAAGAGAGAGTTCCACTTATAGATTGCTAACTGATTGAGAACAGAAAGGAGAGGGTAGGAATAAATAGTAAATTTTTCCAGTGGAGAGCTGTAAACATTGGACTGACAATGATCTCTATAAGGAAAGGATAGACTATTCATATTTTTTTGTCCTCGTCAGAAAACAATGGGCAGTTCTGTCAAAAGAAAAAAAAGTTTTAAGAGGAACTGGAGTCTTAACACTTAGCTGTCAAAATTTGGTGCTCCCATAAAATGAATGGCTCTCATTTTTCTGAGCACATAGTCTCAAAGAGTGAGAGAAATTTGAGTATAGTCAAATCCCAAAACAAAACAAAACCAAAACCTCAAATCCCAGCCCTATATGATATGACAGAAAATGGCTAATCTGTTGCCTCCCCCCCCACCTTTTTTTGTGAACAAAGGCTTTTTTTTTTTTTTGGCTTATGGTTTTCCTTGACAGCTCAGCTTTTGACAGTTGCTTTGGGTTAATATTTACAGTGCATGCTGGCTGCACTTTGACAATGAGGACTGCCCAGGACATTGCCCAGGCAAGGATGCCCATTTTGCACCTGCACAAGTGTGCATTTGCACAAACCCAACTAAAAATTAAAAGGCATTAATAAATTGTGAAAATTGCCAAAAAGATAAAAACGGGGGTTATAAAGTTGTGACTGCCCTCCACAGTGTTTCTTGGGAACTGTTACTAGCTGTCAAATTGGAGATTGTGAAAAGTGACCTCCAAGGGAAAAAGAAGAGGGGGGAAACCCATGGCAGTTACAAAAGCTGTAGCAATCACCACAGGAAAAAGGAGGCGAATCCTGCTGTGGCATCCATGGAAGGACCAAGTGTGAAGGAGTGGGGGGCAACCCACAGCGAACCCAACCAACTGTCAAGAATACTGTGGGCTATTGTGGATTGTCAGGCTGGGTTGTCAGATGTCCAGACTTGCCCAGTCAGATGTCATGTAGCAATCCTTCATCAGCCTGATTGGAGTTTGAATACTCAAAATGGCAATGGATTGTGTCCTGCACGCACTGTGGCCAATCATGTGTTGAGTAACCCACACTTTTCCTCTGTTACATATGAACTGGGTCACTGTGTAAAATATGTGATGGAGTCAACCAGTTCTAAAGTTTTTTAATCAGCATTTTTGAATCCTATAGGAGCTTCCATAGAAATAGTTTGTCATTCTTGCTAATTTTCTATGGGACTTGCTCTCTTGCAAGTGTGCTTAGGATTTCAGTGTACATTTATCCAGGAATACCCTTCATTGAACATGATGGGGCACACATCAGAGCAAACAAGCATAGGGATGTGGTGTCAATATGTATCCTGCGGTTGTATCCTACATATGTATCCTCTATGTCTATGTGTCTTGTTTTTTATGACTGACTCTTTTTTAGAAACATTCCTGTCCTCTCTTCATATCACCTCAGTGACTATATGAACATGTATTGCTCTATTCCTTCCATTTTTGATTTTGGCAGGGCGCAGACCATCATGAAGGCCCGTTTGAAAGGAGCCCAAACAGGTCGCAACCTCTTGAAGAAAAAATCTGATGCTCTGACCTTGCGATTCCGGCAGATTCTAAAGAAAATTATTGAAGTAAGGTGCTTTAATGTATTTGCTTTGTTATTTGGAATTTTGAACAACATTTCTTTTAAATACACCCACACCAAGCAATTCTTATTATCAGTGGTAGACTCTATTTGGTTTAGAAAATTGCAGTCTTTTTGGGTTGTATTTGCAGACAAAGATGTTGATGGGTGAGGTCATGAGAGAAGCTGCTTTTTCACTTGCTGAGGCAAAGTTTACAGCTGGAGACTTCAGGTAAGATTCTCAAACTTGGAGTGTGGTTGAAGGGTGCTTTGTGAAACATTTGGTTTTTCTTTTCCAAGAAATGGGTCTCATTTACCTTTGTTGAGGAGATTTTGGGTGGCGGGGGGAGGAAAATTCTGTGGCAGACCCTGTAAGGAATGAAGGCAAGCCCATAAGAAATAGAATACATATTAAGAAGGCTTGCAAAGATAAATGAGGGGAAAAGGAAGAGAAGAGGGGAATAAAATTTGAGATTTTCTAAATGTATCAGCTGGTGTAAGAAACAATCAAGTTCTTACGGCTTTATGTTATACTAGGAGACATTGATTATTCTTAAACTAATGAGCAGTGAATTAGTCATGGTGCATCAGAACACATCCAGAAAATCTGCAATTGTCATACCTTGGTGTTGTCCTTAAAAGCACAAACCACCATATTATGGCCAGAAGTAAGCATTGCAGGGGATTCAGAAAAGCTTTATAAGGGCTATGCATCTCTAAAATGTAACTGCCTCTTTTGCAGGTATGAATAATCTCAGCTAGCACACACAGTGGGCCCCGTAAGTGGGACTACGTTCTGATTGTGTAACATGTGCCACAGATAGAGTTTAAGAACAGTGATCTTGTTTGTGCAGCACAGAAATAAATAATATGAGAACTCTAGAAAACTAAGCAAGCTAATTGGCCATTGATTCCACCTTGTTGGACAATGCATATACTATTTCAAGACATGCATTTTGTTTTTGTAGTACAACTGTGATTCAGAATGTGAATAAAGCTCAAGTCAAGATCAGAGCCAAGAAAGACAATGTGGCAGGTGAGATCAGTTGTCCTCACTCTTTTTGAGCTCATGGGCACATTTGGATTTATAAGAAAGTGTCATGGGCACTGTCACAGAATGCCAGCTGTATGAGTGTGTGCGTGCGTGTGTGGGTGGAGTAGTTGCTGTGGCACTGTGAACAATCACATTAAGTTCTGCAACTCGTTTTACATAAGACGAACTAGCAAAGCTCAAAGATAAGGAACTTGTCTAATGTCTTGAGTACATGGCAGAGGTTGGATCTGACCCCCAAAACACAAAGCTAGTCCCTTGAACCCACAGTTTCCTGTTTCAGTGGTACACATATTTCACAGATGGCAAACCAATTAATTCCCCCAAATAATTTCTAAATTGATTACTATAAAATTACTGCACTGCTAATCTCACGCTTTCACTCTCAAAATCGCCACCCGAACAGGCCTTCGTGCCTGTTTTTTCCCTCCGTCCCCATGCCCTGCTTTACCTATCTTTCCTACTTCCATCAAGGCACAGCCACTTGCTTCCTTGCTCTTCCCTGAGAAACATTTAAATTGGAAATTACTTGCAGAGGAAGAGAACAGTTTGGAATGGTCTCTTACTCATCTCTGTTACTAATATTCAATTAGAACGTTTCTCTTGTCTCACCTCATTCTGACACCGCTGGCTATACAGAAAAATGGGTGGACCTGAGCATGTACCACAGAGGAGAGTAGAGATAAGCTGGAGTTCAGTGTCTGAGATGGTTAGAGGAGCAGAGAGCTTGACAGCCTTTGATAGTATTTGGAATGTTTCATTATGGGAACTTCTATTTGGTTTTCTGTGAATATTTTGGGCTGTTTATGGACTTAGTTTTCTGACCACTGTGAGCATGTTAGTGTCTCAGTTCAGATGTAAAGTTACTGAAACAACAAGTTGGTTTGGTGTTGTGGGAACAAGTTATGAGCTCATATGGGGTTTGTTTAAGCTAAGCTGTCCAGTAACAGTCATACCAGGAAAGTGTGGTTTAAACTATCCTTGCAAAATAGGAACAATTCCTGGGTCAAAAGAATGTCAGTTTCAGCAGCCAATGGTTATGGTCAAGACCCATAAGAAAACTAGATGGATGTAGGCATGGAAATGTAATATATAACTTACCCAATATGTTGTGTGGATTTTACAGGTGTGACCCTACCAGTTTTTGAACATTACCAAGAAGGAGGGGATAGTAAGTAAGAGTAACTTTTTCTTTCCCTAGATGACTTTGGTATGAGCTTAGCTTTAATACAGTATGCTTAACTGAAAATCGAGTAACCCATACTCTCTGTCATAGCCAAATGATACAATAGACAACATGGAGCCTTTAACAACCTTCCTGTAAATATTTGTCAATTTTTTATCCTATGAGGTTGTTTTCAGGTGCTGGAAGAGAGGTTAACCTGTAGAAATAGATGGTAAATATCCAAGACATTCCCACAATTTTTTGAGCAGCTGATTCCTTTTTAGATGTAATCTTAAACTTGGGAAAAACTTGCTGTTAACGTTAGTAGGGTCAAGATCACCTTCTTTGTAACTATTTACATTTTGCATATTACTCGTAGAACTAGAAACTGAGATGAGTGGCTTGGTGTTTGGAACCCTTCTCCCCAGTAGAATATTGTTGGGGGTTTCTTTGTGTCTTCCAAAAGTTGCTTTTTCTTTTTGATGTGGCTGCTAACTGTATTGGATGAATTATTTCAGGTTATGAGCTGACTGGTTTAGCTAGAGGTGGGGAACAACTGGCCAAACTGAAAAGGAACTATGCCAAAGCAGTCGAGCTGCTTGTGGAACTGGCCTCCCTTCAGGTAGGTGGAGGGAAAAACTGTTGAAACAACCTCTGGTATTTATTCCAAGTATTCCAAGGTGGCATGACTTTTTAAATAGGTCATCAACTGAAAGACCAGTAGCACTGCATGTGGTACAGGCCATTTAAAAAAGAGCAACTTAAAGGTCTTTTAGTATCTGAACCTTCATTGACACACTCAGCTTCATTTGTTTCTTAGAAGGGCAGAAGAGGTGTGTGCAGTACTCCAGCCTCATGACTGGGTTGTATGGTGGTAGCTGGCAGTGGCACTGCAGTCGGTGCAAGTAAGTGGATTCGGAAAAGGGGAAAAAGATTGCGGAACACCGATTAGCTGGAAATTAGACAGACTCCCACATTGCTCTGTTATTTTGAGAGAAGCTCATAACTATCTTGTAGACTTGCAGAACTTGCCTGTCAGCTGGTACAACATTGTTTACCCATTTATGGGCAAAGTAATTCCTTTCCCAGGCCATTGTAGCCTGGTGCTCCCCAGACATTTTGGATTACCACTCCCAGAAACTCTGGCCATTGCCTGTGATTTATGGAAATTGTAGCTCTGAACTTTGGAGGATACCAGCTTGACTAAACCTGGTATAGGCTATAGCAGCTGTCTCCAGCCTGGTGTTCATCAGATGTTTGGATGAACTTTTGCCGGCCCCATCTAGTAAGGTGAGAGATGGTCTAAAACAACTGGAGGGCAACAGCTTGGGGAAGCCTGGGGAATTCCTGTGCCAGAGTTGGGCAAATTCTACTCCTCACCTCCTCACCTATCTTAAATTTGCAAGTTAGTACTTGGAGTGGCTGGTGGGAGTAAGGGAGCATGCCTGTGTTCTGTCATTCGTTATGCCAGTCTGGGGCAGAAGAAGCTGGGCCAGTAAGCTTGGAAAACTGGGCTGCCAGTAAATGTTCTCTGCAGGAAAGTTTGCATGCAGTTTGCCAGGTGAGAGCCACACCAGAATTTCTTAACAGTGGATGTCTCAAATACTTATTGAAATATTCCTTTGCCTAAGGCTGATTTCCCAAGAGCCAACCCACCATGCCTCTTTGGTGAAAATAATTTCTCGTGACGTGCTCCATCTTTTTGCTTTCCACAGACTTCATTTGTTACGCTGGATGAAGCCATCAAGATAACAAACAGGCGTGTGAATGCTATTGAGCATGGTAAGAGATAATCCTTTAGTACTCTTGAGCCTCGATAGGCAACGTTATGTAGCTTTGGACAATATGGGAGGCAGTTGGACATTTCTGTGCTTGCTGTGGAATTGGTATGTCTCTGCCCTCTTTTGGGTGATAGATTATGCTTCATATGCACCAAGCTATTTGAAGTTACTTGGATGCAGAGATTTTTCAAGACCCCAATATATACTATTATTTTGGAAGAAGACAGAAATCCAAATAAAATTTCACTAACTTGAGGGTTTTTTTCTGCACAACTTCAGGAAATGATAACATCCAATGTTCAATCATTCCGTTCCAGTAATGCCCTGGAAATCTATTTTTCTAGCAGAGAATCTGAGATTAGAAGGTGAAGCAGCAGACTACATTTTGTATATACCCTGTTCAGTACTCTTGCCATAGATATATGGCTAAATCAAACCTTCCATGTTGAATGTCTCTGGAAGCATCCCCTATTGGCTTAGATTGATTGGGTGGGGACCTTTGGAGACCTGGAGGCCACTTTCATCTCCAGGACCTCTCCATGGACTGCACTTTCCTATTCCTGTGATGATAAAATACGGAGGTGTGGTAGGAAAAACTGTTGTGCTTCTCTGCCAGTTTTGCAATAAACTACTGTGAAAGTTTAAACAACAAATTTAGCTTAATTTTAAGTTAAATATATCCCTTTTAAGCCCCAACAGTGGTTTGCTGCCACGATCTGGTGGTAGACCGCCACAGGTTTTGCTGCTGCTGCATTGAGATGGCATGGTAACGGCTGCACTGGAAGGCAGGGAGCTGTTTCCCTCCCTTGGCTTAGATGATACATTGGGTGATTTTCTCACAAGCAGGCTTTGCTCTGCCTGAGGTTGCCTTCGAAAACAGTCCAGACACTGCAGCTCGTTCAGAACAAGGTGGCACGCCTGCGAATGAGGACCGACTTTTGCAAACACATTACGCCAGCCCTGCACAGGCTACACTGGCTGCCAGTTGCCATCACAACCCAATTCAGGGTGCTTAAAATAAAATACAAAACCCTAAACAGCGTGGGGCCAAGATATCTGCAGGGTCACCTATCTCCATACATCCCGGCTCGATCACTGAGGTCTCCATCTGGGGCCCTTCCCCAAATTTCTTCCCCCAGTGAAGTAAGCGAGGAGATGGCTAGGAGAAGGGCCTTTTCTGCAATAATGACTCACCTGTGGAACATGCTTCCAGTTGAGATCTGCCAGGTGTCTTCTCTTACTTGGATGCTAATTGAAAACATTTCTTTTTCACAATATTTTAGTGAGTGAGTGGGTTGGTTGTAGAATGGTTTATTATACTGTTTTTTTATTGCTGCGACTGTTGTGTTAGAATTTTAGACAATTCTGTTTAAATTATTGATTGGTCAAATGGTTTTATTATTAAGTGAATGTTGTTTTTATTGCTTTTATTGTTTTATTGCACTGTTTTATTGATATTATGTATTGTTCATTTGTAATTGTTTTATTTGTTGTTTTTGGATGTAATGTAAGATGCCCAGATAGCCTCATGGCTAGGGTGCAGCATACAGGTGAAATAAATAATGTTTATATAATCATATTGCTAATAATATTTCACTTTTTCCATAGTTATTATTCCCAGGATTGAACGTACACTGTCATATATCATAACTGAGTTGGATGAAAGAGAGCGAGAAGAATTCTATAGGTAAGTGATTCAGCAATTCAAAAATGGAAAATGTGGGGCAGAAAGCAATGCCATGCAAGCTGGTTGTTGCTTTTCAGATGGAAGAACCATCAGTGGATGAATAAGAGTAAAAGTGACATTTCTGATGCCTGTGGAAAACCCTTTATGGTTGCCCATTGCATTTTGGAAATTATGTGTGAACTTTAATTCAAAATAAATAGTTAAAGGTGGCTTTTAAAAGTACATTTAACAGAAGTTAAGCAGCTGCCAACAGAGACATCTGAGAGTTTCTTTTTACTCTGTCTCATTGGTGGTTCTTTCATATATCTGCCTTCAGTTTTCATTTGCACTTTTCTGGTGATACATTCTCCTCTGCCCCTGTAGCTCCTGCAGAGCTGTTCCAAAGGGTCCCTGCCCTCCAGAGCAGATTTTCAGTGTGTGCATCAGGCTATGCAGGGAGGGGAGAAATCATACCCTCCCAGTTCCATCAATAGAACAACTTCTTCAATGGAACAACTTAATTGGGTCTCATCCATTGTACCTGAAAAAGTAGTAGACATCAAATACAGGGTATGCAAGTATATTTAAAACCACAGGCTAGCTTAGTACCCTGCTTGTGGCTCCTGCATCAAATCAAGACAGAACTTTCCCTGGAATCAAGAATGACAAACTGAAACTGTTGCACTTTGGGCACATCTTCAGAAGGCATGACTCCTGGAGAAGACAATTATACTAGGGAAAGTTGAGTGCAGGAGAAGAAAAGGAACACCAGAAACAATATGGATTAACTTCATAAAGGAAGCCACAGCTTTGAATTTGCCAGAGTTAAGCAGAACTGGCAAAGACAAGACGTTTTGGAGTGCTTTCATTCATGAAGTGACCATAAGTTGGAGATGAAAGACACTTAGAAACAAAAGTATTCTGCTTATTTAGGACATGGATGTTGCATCAGGGTAGCAGGAGTCCAAGGCTGGCTTGATAAACACCACTTTTGTCTGGTTCACATATGTATATTTGCATTTTTCTTCTGCAAGTGATTCTGGGTTGAGTATCCTCATGGAATGTAATATGGAGAAATACACGTGTGAACTGGGTTGCTTTATAATCATCCAGATAGTGTTTGTTGTGAAGTAGATTAAATATATAATAGATATTAATACCTGGATATAGCCCTTGGTAGCTGCCCCATTTCTGGTGACTTCATTTGCACTTTCCCTAGTCTTTGTGGTCTTTGGAATCCTGACCACTGCTGGCTAGATGACTGTTCAGTCTGGTTTATGTTGATGCTTCTGTAAGTGGTCCTGTATTGTGGGACAGTCAGCTGAGAGTCAGTGGAGAAGTTGCCAGCTTACATTAGTGACTTGCTTCAATGCATTAAGTTGAAGTAGTATACAAGGCAAAAACAAGATATATGGCTCCTGTATGTTTTGGCATAGCTCATTTTGTGCAATAGAAACAACCTGCATCTAGTGATAATCAGTTTTGGTGACCAGCTACTTGATTTTTTAAAACACAGATTAGAATGGGGGTTGTACAGAGGCAGGGGTTGCTTATTGTATTAGTATTCTATAGAAAGAGGAAGTGTGCATAAACTGGTTTGGTTTGGTTTGCCCTCCTTGGAATCATGAGGTGGGTCATACAAATTCACTGACTGTCCTGGGTGATGCAGCAACCACACATAAAGGGATATAACAGTTGTTTCCTTGGCTCCCAGTGTGCAGCAAGCATGCAGCACACCAGGCCCTGACATGGGATAAGAGGAACCACACTTACTTCATTCCTGTCTGTCTATCCTGCTTTTCCTGATGTTCTACCATCCTTATCTTTGTAAAAATGTGATAGATTTCAGTAGTTTTTGGACTGGTAAGAATACAGATGATTTTGTCACATTTCCTGTATAAACATAAAAGAGCCATGCAATAAACTATCAGCATTAGCAGTAACTTGGATCACTTTGCTCCACAGACTGAAAAAGATTCAAGAGAAGAAAAAAATACTGAGAGAGAAGAGTGAAAAGCAGCAAGAATTACGGAAGGCTGCTGGAGAATTACAGCAAGAACCGGCCAATTTGCTTGCAGAAGAAAAAGATGAAGACCTTCTATTTGAATAATTGTCTACATCTGTAATATTTGACTGAAAGCAGTGAGTTTGGGATGCAGTTCTGGATACATTGTGGTGCTTTTTTACACTGTGGCTCATCATTTGGTGTAGCAGCCTGAACCTTCTGCTTATGCTGATTTCATTCCAGGAATGTTTCTGTTGTGAAAAACTGTTAATGTTTGGTAATTAATTACATGCATGTGACAGGAACATTCCCAGCTCTCCCTCCCTGGCTCCATTTCATCCCTTTGACAGAGAAGAACTGGAGTACTTTCTTCTGCTGTTTTCAGCTATACTTAAGACTCCCTTTTCTCCTTTTTCTTGTGTACTGCCAAATTCTTGTGAACAAAAGTTTATTTTAACCTGCTCCATATCCACAGGTAAAAGCAATTGTAATAACTGTGCAAACTTAAATTATAAAAAGGTTATTTGTCACAACTTGATTTGAAAGAACTGTAGCTATATTTTCTTTTACCTTTCAGGAAAGAAAAAATACTTCCATTTTAAGTTGTTTCTGCCAAGTCATTGATGCTGTAAAGTCAGTAAAGGAGTATGTCTAAACTCAAGATTGCTTGTTTCTGTCAAAAATGCCCCTTAGGAGTACAATCCAGCAGCTTTTTGATATCTGGTTGGAGTGACATAGAATTGTTCAGAGTCCCAGATCTGAGGTCCCTCACCCCATAGCTGGCATGGAAAGAATAAACCAGGTTGCCTTCTCACTGTGAGGAGAAAAAAGGGCATGTTAGGGAAGGAGGAGAGGAAACTTGGGCTATTGACTTATATTGCATCCAGTTGGTACCCCAGACTTCTTCCTCCCCTGTTTGTGCTGCTTATCTAGGATCTGATCTGGGCATTGAATGCAGGTAAGCCTCAACATTTGAAATGACTACTGGGGGCATAGGTTTATGCCTTCCGTCTTCAAAATAAGGGGATAGGGAGCAGCTATCTGCACATGATTTGTGTCTAAGCAAGGGTCTTTAGCTCTGAACTAGCATCCCCATGTTAATTTCTCCTGATCTGCATTATGACAACTTGTACAGAAGAAAAGGTGAAGCTTTATTTTGATGAGGAAAACATGTATGTACAGCACAGGTAAACTATCCAAGCTAATACAGGGATGTTGTTTTGGTTTCACTTCTGTGTTTTCCACAGTATTTTCTTTGAACTGAGGTTAAAAATGAAATCTCCTGAAGAACTGAGGATACATCTAGATAGAAGTGTGGAGAGTTCCTGACTAAATCTGTCCTAATTATCTCGGATTAGATGTCCAATTTAGCAATTGAAAGAAGACTAGATAAATTTTTAAATAAAAGAAACACCACACAATTGCTCTAAATATGTAACCAGATTTGCAACACTACTGCATCATTAGCAAACACCCATTAAGGAAAATTATGGAGACAGATAGCTGGCATCATATTTTACATAAGACAAAAATTGGCTCACTTACTGAAACATTAGGCAATAATTATCGTAACTTAAAGAAGCAACCTACCCTGATTTAGTTAACTGAATTAGAACTGTTCTGGTAGGGAAATAAATTTGCAATAATGCTGTAAAAATCAATTACTAGAGTGAACATGATTTTGCCTTTCATCTTTCTCACCATGCTTAACTGTTTACACCTTCCATCATATGTATCTTGTTATGCCTACCATATTTCTCCTGTACTAGGTAAAGTGTGCTTTAAGTATCTATCCTATTTAATGCTTTAAATCAAAATACTTCATTGCCTCTATAGTAGCCATGTTCCACTTGACTATTACATAGAAACATAACGAGTCAGAAGGGGTCTCCTAGGCCATCTAGTCTGACCCCCAGCTCCAGCTGGCTCTACTCATGTTAATCCCCAACTTGTGGTTGGCCAATCTTTCCTTGAACACCCTCACTGATGGGGGCCCCATGGAAGCCCATTCCATATTCTAGGGATCCTGATCATGACATCCAACTTGAAACCTGGTTTCTTGAGCTTTGTCCTACTGGACTGCATCCTTTCCTCCACTGCAGGGGAGAACAAATCAAAACTCTTTACCGTGCAACACCCCTTCTCATACGTATATTTCACTGTACGTAGCTATATGTATATCTTCCTATATTACTGGAGAATATGCTTGAATAAAGCTTTCAAAATTATGCACACCTGAAAGTTTAGGAGCCATTGTAGCTGGTCTAGAATGATGTTACATTTGTAGATGTTCGTGGCAGTTTAGATATTTGGCTGTGTATTCTTGCCGAGCGGTGTTTTGTTTCCTTTTTGTTATGTTTTAAATGCAATAGGATTGTAATACTAATCTTTCCCTGGCGAACATGCATCCTTACTTTCTATGATACGATGGCAGACACCTTTGAGTTTGCTAGTTTACAGAGTAAGGCTCTGATCTTTACACAAAAAAAATAGTGCTACGGCTAGAGTGGAGAAAGAGAAATGTGAAACCTGTATTGTTGGTTTGCCCTTCCAAAAGGTTGGGCAAGTTTACAGAAGAGAAGATTCTGATGTATACAAAACATACAGCTGATAGCCTGTATGAGTAAGTAGTGAACTTTATTTTTTGTAAGCAAATAATAATGGTGCAAGATACTCTTATTTTTCTCCCAAAGAATAGTGAAAAACTTCCACAATTAAGCACATGCAATATTCAAGTTTCATTTTTCAGTCAAGTACCTTAATCGTCATGATGTTACAAATTGTGCCTGAAATATTAGGTCAGGTTTAAATTATGCTGAAATGTAAAAAGCAAGACGGGTTTTATATTAACCTTAGACCCATTTCTCACAAAATCTCATCATGCAGTTGCCACTGGAACTAAATTACATGGCCAACTCTGTATAACATGGAAAGCTGAGGCAATGCAATGCTGGGGGAAATTTCCCCGGATAAAGTACACTATAGACCTTTGATACTGCCCCAAAGCAACATTTAGTTTGTTAATCTGTGAAGAAGCCCAGCTCTATAAATGCTTTCATTGACTTTGTTTACTATGATTAAGATTGCATAGATTGTAGTGAATGGCAAGAAACCTGCAGGCTAGAACAATGGTGAGCTGGCTTTTGTTCCCATTCAGTTGTCTCCATCCAGTACACTATGATTTTAGGAAATGCTCTAGTACCACCTGTGAAAAAGGGCTGTATCCAATTTTTCAGAAGTAGGGACATTGCTGGTAGAACAGATTTGACCCAGAATGAAGTTAGATGGAAGTCAGCAGCAACCAGGATAACAACATAGATTTCAACCAATAGCTTGGACCAATTCTGGCACAGGTCACCATACTACTACAGGATGCTTTGCAAACCTTTTATCCAGCCAGTAAAAATTGGGATATCTTCAGAATTACAGAGTTAAATCCTTGCTATCATTTGTCAAGAGTGAGTGCATTCATGCTTTATTAACTGGGGTATCTTCACTTGGTTATTCCCCCTGCCATTTAGCTAGGTTAGCAAAATGCAACACACCAGCTCCCATTTAGTAATGGCAAAGCTCTTTATAAAATTTGGAAAACCTAATATATTGACCCCCCTCATCCAAATGTAATGCCCACTACTCTGCAGGTTAAGATTGTGGTTAATCCTTTCCCAATATATATGCTTCAGGAGAAGAGCAGCTGACACATTTGATTTCAAGTAACATTATTAGTTGTTCTTTAAAAGACTTAAGACTTCTTTGGGATTCCTACTGCTTACCAATAATGCATTCGTTAACCAAAGCTAAGTGTGATTTTAAACCCTCATTCTTACTGCATAAATAGAGGCAGTAGAAGCACCCAGAGAAGTGGCATGTTTAGTACTTTCTTCATCCAAAAGATTAACTACTCTAGTTCTCAATTATTTCAGAAATTCAAAATGAAGATGGGAGAAGCAAATGGCCTCACCTCACTCCACTTTTTAACATACTGCTATGGCCGGTCAATTTTGGGTATTTCATCTACTCCCTTGGCTTTCATGATGGATTGTGTTAATCAAATTCACTTAGATTTAGGTTTCTTTCACTTGGCTATAAATATAATTCTATTTTAGATCTCAAAAGCCTCAGCACCATACCACTTGTAGAAGATATCAAATAGGATAATCCACAGAGTGATGGTGCTGACATAATCCTTTCCATAATTTAGCCATGGCTGAAGAAACGGGAACAGGCTATAGCACTGTGTATTTGTTCTCCAACTTTCTTCCTTCTTGGGTGCAAATTTTATCACCCTTAACCATGACTCATATCTGCACAAAACATAATCACTATTAGTACTTTCCAGAGCAACTTGTAACCTAAGTTTCATAAACAGCATCACATGCTAGTTTCAAATGCTTGGGTCCAAGCTTAACCATAATGAACATAACAAACCATAGTCAAGTAGAGTGGTGGAAGATGCGTAGCTAAGAAGGGAAGGGACTATGTTATCCCACTACCCATCCATGTTCCCCATAGAGATGGGAAGCACTACATCCAGAGTCTGAATTTTGATGATTGCTATTACATCAAACCAAAGGACCATCATAGCATTCATATTTGCACCTTGCATTGTAGGCAAAATCAATCATTTCAGATGAAGTATTATTTGTTAGGTTCAATAAGGATACATTGTTTTCCATATTTCTATTTCCTATCCATAGGCTTTATTGGATGGAGGCACATGATTTTATAATATCTTGATAAATGTGCTACATTTTAAGACCATTTGTATATACTCTGCATAGATGGGGAGCAGATGCAGACTTCCAAATTTCTTTTTTCCCCATGGTGGGTGATAGATCATAATACTAAAGAATTTCAGTTCTTAAGTAACTTTCCCCACACTCTCCATATGCCAATGTATATACTATGTTCAAATATGAACACAAAAAGTATGACACCTGCCTGGATTTTTTTCTGTTAGATCTTTTAGAAAAAAATATAAAAGTACATGGAAAGACAGGCGATTCTTCACTATAACATTCAACTAGACGTTGAAGCAATTCCAGTGTATGACAGTATATAAAAATAAAAGCTATGATTAAGAACAAAGCAAAACTATTAATATTCACATTCAAGGATGCCACCAACAAAGAAGCAACAAAACCAGTCAATTTCAAAAGGCAGCTACAGTTGGAGAAGCTTCATAGATGGAACAGCTGTAATATTTGAACTTCCATGAATATTTTCCATTGCACATGGAGTATGATGGTTCTAGAAAACAGCACATGCCAAGTTCCTAATTTAATAATGTTCTCATTATTTTACTACTCCAGGGCAATAATTTGGTTACTTTCTATTAACTCCAGTTACATGACCACATGGCCAACAGCCATGAGATGTTTTGTGCCTAGGTATAAAAATACAAGAAAATACTCTAATATTCACCATCCCATAGTCTGTGTTTGTGATTAGAAAAGTCAATTTTACACTTTAAGGAAGCAAAACCTTTACAAAAATCCATATAACAATGCCTAGATTCATAAAAATATAGCTTCCCTTCTAAATTCTTCTACAGGTCCATTGGATAACAGTGGCTTCCAATCAAGTGATGTAGCCAAGAGAAGAACAAATTCCATAAAAATATCACATCTAAAATATCAACTTATATATATAATTCACCTTCCATGGGATTTAGGGTTATTTAACAGGCTGTCAATCTGATTTACAAAGTAACTAAAGACAAAAAAGTTTGAAATATTTACATTGTACACATTCTCAAAAACTGTAGTGCTATTAGCTAATGGAATGTTTCACCACAAAAAACAAGTTCAAGGCTAAGAGGCAGCTCCAGATCAAACTGTCCCCTTTATAAAGTTCAGAGAACTTTCAGGTTAAGTCCTCCATTCCCCTTATAGATTAGTTTCTTTGTCCAAGATTCTATAAAAGTATTTTTGAAACTACAATCATGTCCACAAGATCATTAAGTTAACAGTGTTAAATAACCAGTATTTATAATGATCAGGGGTTGCATACATACACTTGCTTTAAGAACTGGATGCTAGAGAAAAAAGTAGATTTAAAGCAGCTGCTTGAAAGGCTATTCAAATAATTAAAATGTAGTGGCTTGTTCAGAATGTCCATGTCTGATAAAAACGTAGGGAAAACCCAGACAGTCTAATTCACAGCAACATGGTGTCAGACTGCATGATCTTTTTAAAATTAGTACACTGATCCTCAGTGCACACAGAGCTACAGCTTAATCTGTCATCTAATTTCTCGGAGGAGCAGTCTTCTATTGGCAGAGTCCGTATCTCTCTCTCTCTCTTGGAATTGATCTGCTTCACCGTAGCCAGGAGGATGGAACCCACTGAGGTTCTGTATCAAGTTTGTTAATTAAACGGAGTAATTCTTGATAAGCTTTATCAATATCAGAATTCACAATTGCTGTATCAAAATAATGGCCATTATTTTGTTCCATCTCTCTAGTCTTCTCTATGATATCTCTCAGTTCTTCTGGCTGAAATTAAAACACAAATTGAAACAGAGTAAATATAATGCATTAGCAAATACTTCTTTCTCTCTTCTCCGACAAACACCCAAACACAATCTCAGTCTTGTAAAGAAGCAGCACTAGTTTGCTGAATGGGAGGAAACAAAATACTGCAATGGGTAAGGCCTGACAGTCAAATCATATGCATCACTCCGCCATTTCCCTGAGGGTATTTTTTAAAGATCCAGTGTACCTGTGGGAAACTTCAACCTGGAAAGAAATCCATGGGCTAGGTGGGAACAGACACTTCTGTCTACAATCTGTTTTCCTTAAAAGCATCCCCCAGATAAATCCCCTCACCCATGAGAAATAAAAATGGACAGTTTTAATAAGAAAAACCTATCAATGCATGGCTCACAGGAAAAACGATCAGGCATCCACTCTCCATAAACTTCACTGCCAGCTTCCTGCAGCTGTATTGGGCATAAAAATACACTGAAGGAAAACTATTCACAAAACTGAGTGTCATGTGTAGTTTGAACCTGATTTGCAAAAGGGTCACACTGATTTAAACTGCTCTTCATAACCTCTTATGTTACCCATTAAACTTGGTTGTACCCTATACAACACCAAGAAGCTATATGAATCATGATGTTACCTCTCATACCAGTAACATCTAGTAGAGACAATGGTGTGGAAAGTAACAATGCCAACAACCATTTCAAACAATAGCAATGTGACATGCCACCCAATCATAGGGAAGCAGCAACCATGTGAAGTAAGGGCCAGCTTATAGCCAGCATCTTCCTAAATTGATAATTACTCAATATTCCTCAAGGCTAAGTGGTTTAGCCAGACTGCTCTGGGAATTTATTCTGGCTAATGCAGTGGTCCTTTGATTTAAGGAATGCAGAAATGACCTGGGCAGAGGACATGATTGCTCTGGATCCTCTCTCTGCAGAAGAACTCATGTGACTCCAAAGTATAGCTTGGAGCTCAGAGCACCAAAACAAAATAGGAGACTGCTTGAGTGCAGATGGAGGAAAACTCCTGATGGATAAAACCCAACCCTGACATGTGCCAATGGCTGGGTATATTTAGGGATGGTGAAGATGGCAAAGGAACAATGGGCAAACCTGCATGACACAACAAGCCTCCAGGTCTAATAAGCTACACAGTAGGGTTCTTTATGGGATCACCCATTACCATCCAGTACTAGTTGTTCCTGTCTTCCTCCGTCCCCCTTCAGACCTCCACTGGACAGCAGCAAATATCCCAGGCATCTTTGTGGCAGAATCAGAGTCCTACTGTTGCTTGCATAGCCACTACATCATAAACATTCATCTGTCGCCCCTGTGTTGCTAACTTTATTTTCCTACTGGTTGACTTTACAAGTTGGGCATGTCTCTCTTGCCTGCCAGGTTCTCCCAACTGATCTCTTACCCTTCTCCACCAAAGAACCTATTCAAGTGGCTTGCAAGCTTCTCTCCATTTACTCCAGTCCCACAGTTTCTGCTCCGCTCACATTTCAGCTGTGGCCAGGCCCTGCTAACACCACTACATTCCACCCCTGGGCCTTGCTGGTCCCACCTCTATTCCCATGGAAGTGTCACCCATAGCAAAATAACTCCAGTCCTCACTAGATCAGTTTGTGGGGGGAGGTCTTGCTGCTGTTTGTACCTGCAGCCATCTACCATTCAGCATTTCCCCATACCTAACAATTCAGTGAAACTGTAGCAAACACATCATTACTAATTTTAACAATGGCCAGCAAGCTTCTCTGTATTTGCTCTGATCCCATCCTCTTGCAGTTTCTGCTTTGCTTGGCCTGAATCCCTCCGTTGGGCTACTCCTTTCTAGTCTCTGTCACCTGTTTCCACTCCCACAGAAGCATCATCTATAGCCAAAGACCCACAATCTTCACCAGATCAGCAAAGTTTTCAGCAGTTATCCTATTTGGTGCCGACAGCTGCCCATCTCTTTTTTCACATGAAAAAATCCTCCTCCCTTTGCTGCTGCCCACCTCCCTTTCTTCTCTTTGCAGCTTCTCTCCCATCAAAACACCAGCAAAGCACTGCTCTAGCAAGCACAGCATTTCTGAATTTTAAAAAGGTATTAAGAAATCTATCTCATTGCATCTATCAGGAATCCCAATTCTTCTCAGTGCATTACTTGTGGGGGGGGAGGGGTGTGCAGAGGGGCAGATGAATGGACTATCACTCAGAAAGCACTACTTTGGTTGCAGTGGTGCTACTGTTTTGCATGCGGTAGCACCTGGGGGACAGCGTCTTCTCAGGAACGGACTGTGGATGATTGGGGGCAAATTGGTTCCTCTGCAACTTGCCTTAATTATGTGGGAAGATGACAGAGAAAAGGGGGCAATGAATGTTGGACTGGACTACTGCTCTGTCCAGGTCAAATAATCTAATACCTCATCAGTCTTTCCAAGGGAAGTACACTGGTCAGCGATCCCTTATGGACAATACACATGTGGACAGCAGTCCCAGACCTATTCTGCCTTTGCTTTCCAAATCTGTCATGCTTCCTAGTGAGTTGCTCTATTGGTCATCAGGTCAAAAGAAATGGGGGGGGGGAGTCTCTTGGCCAAGTGTCAACAGAGATGGCATCGCTCTTTGCCTTGGACCAGGAGAGCAGTTTTGTACTGAAGGATTATTGCTCCACTTGACTCGCAATGTTGTGCAGGATGCAACAGGCCACCCTCATGTCTGGAATGAGGTCCTCCTCCACCTCTAGGAGAGTAGATAGGAGTGCCACCAAGCCCTTAAGCAGTTCTCACAGCAAGGCAGGGAGCCACTAGCCAGTGTTAAAGACTTCTGAGAATGAGGGGAAGCACAGGCAGACTATTCACCACTGATGCCAGGGTGGTGAAGGGTCTGCTACTTGCAGGCTTGTCTGCAGGGGGCATGTTGTGGAATATGGCTATGCCATAACTTCTCTTAGACAACCACGAATGTACATAAAATCCTCCTTGCTGTCCACAAATGCCTGGAAGACCGTACTGTAGAAATATTTGCTGCTATAATACTCCTTGCCATCTCCTGGCTATGGTTTTGCAGGGTGGGGGATATATGAACATGTACTGAATCCAGGGCTCTTGCCATTCATGGAAGCCCAACCCTTAGAAACCCCTTTGTGTTTATCTATTTGTTTCCCATCTTTATGATGCCCATCCGTTAACACTTGCTCAGAACATGTACTAGAGCACCCAGAAGTTCTTTCAAGCGGTCAACTTGCTAATACCAAAGAAGGTATGACTGGGCTAGGTAAGCAAGGTCAAAAACAAGTTTGTACAAAGTCTTTAGCTAATATTTCTAAGTGCACCTGTGCACTGTCATGTCTGACTGGCAGATGACTGGCCCAATTTCAGTGTCCATGATTTCAAAGGTAGTCCCAGACATGTGAAAGTGGCCCGAACAGGCATCATGGCAAGCCTCTATGTCTAGCACTGATGCTCACACACCTCGGTGTGTCAGAGGGTCCACCAGTGCACAACATACCTGTCTCCCATAAACTGCTCAGCTGAGGCACCAACCTACACAGATTCACAGAAGAGTTCCTTGTATGTCCCAGAGCAAGTACAAGAAAAATGAGAGGATGAGGCTGCCTATCAGTTAATTTGCAAACAGTTGGAAAGGACTAGGGGAGAAATACTGTGGTACCTTGGCTCACGAACACCTTGGCTCTAGAACAAAAATTTCATGAAAATTTTGACTTGGGTCATGAATTCCGCTTTGGTGACGACCAAGATCGCGGCCACCTCCCCACCTCCCCAGGTGGGGAGATGGGCACGATAGCAGTCGTGTTCGTGCAGGGAACACATGCATGATCACAGCTGTGCTGTGCTGCACCCATCTTTCCTGCAGGAGCGCACCCATGATCACGCACGTCTTCCTTCCCTGCATGAACGCAACTGCGATCCTGGCCATCTCCCCACTTGGGGGGGGGGGGGGGAGACGGCCGCGATCATGCTGGTTGGGGGGAAAGATGGCCGAGATTGCACCAGTCTTTCCTGCAGAAGTGCGCCTGTGCCAGGATTTCTTTGAGAAGCACCACCCCAACATAAATGTATCAAACAGTGTTGATTCTGATGAACGATAACGTGGTCTCTCATTTCCGGAGGGTTGTGCAGCGCAGGAAAAAACAAGTGACTATAGACAGATTTTTCACCAAAATTGACCCTGCAGCTAAGAGACAAAGAAGAGAGGAAACCCATGAAAGAGATCTCCCCAATGTCCTTATGGAGGGGGACTCTTCCTCAAAACAATAACCTCCCCCACACCTAGGTTAGTGTTCTCCACTGTACTGTACTGTACTTTGTTACTTTGTTGTTCTTTGTCACTTTGTTTCAAAATTTCTGATTAAAAAAAAATAGTTACAGAATGGATTAACCTTATTTACATTGAACCTTATGGGGAAAATTGACTTGGCTTGTGACCAAAACCTGGCTCACAATCACATTCGGAGGAGCCAGAACAGATTAACCTTATTTACATTGAACCTTATGGGGAAATTTGACTTGGGTCACAACCAATTTGGGTCACAACCAGAGTCGTAGAACGGATTAAGTTTGTGAGCCAAGGTACCACTGTAATAGCAAAAGAAGAGTGACCTGGTACAGCAAGTCAGAAACCCTGAAAATGAAGTGGGGGGGGGGAGGAGAGCCAGGGGTATAAGTGTACCAAATGTGGGAGAACAATACCTCCCCTCTTGACAATGTGATTCTCTTGCTTAAAAATACTGAACCAACACTTACCAGCACTCTCTACCTTTTCAACACTTCCCTGACTCTCTAGCTACTTCAGAAGGGGAGCTATTAACCCTCCCTTTTTGCAGCCCTTTTTGTAGCGCTTACTGTTATGGTTACTGTGGTTCCCTAACAGTTCTAGGGAAAAACCAAATCCTGAGGAGATGGCTGAATGGGATTGAATGAATGGGACCCAGCTGACTGTGAATTCCTCTTGCACTTCCACCTCATTTACTCCATCCCATTCTGCCCCATCTAGGGCCTTTTAAAAATATGTCTGGAATATAACCTCAATCTGGAATATTTGCACATTTTTTGACTTGGAAAATGCATGCAAATTAAATAGAGGGGAAATCCGCAGAACTGCAGTAAAGGAACACTTAATTGATCTACTTGAACACAGGATATGGAAATCTCAGAAAAAAATGGAAATTTCCTAAATAGTTGGCTGCCGATTATTGTTGTATTTCTGCTAATTCTTGCATGAATAAAACCAAGCTGACAGCTGATATGACATGGAATGACCCTCTCAGCTTCCTGAAGCATCTGCAACAGAACATTCTCTTCTGGATATATCACCCTTCATTTTAGCAATGACTTTGGATTGAAGGAGATCACAATGTAGACTAGCAGTAACTTGATAAGGCACATAGAGAACAAAGAAAAGTGTATGTCACAAGAGGAGATTGCTCCAGAGTTAGGTGGGGTTAACTCACCATGAATGGAATGGATGGAATCCAGGGAAGTCCTATGCATAGAACAGCAGGACTGGAGGGAGGATGATTCCTTTCCCCCCGCAGACCTCTTGCACCCCCAGTCTGCTTGGGAGGGTTCGAGGACCCACCTGAGCAGATTTGGGAGGGGGTACAACAGGCTGTGGGGGTAAGGAGAGCAGGACTATCAATTTCCTTAAAGATAGAATTAAATGCAAAATTGAATAGTATGTAGGTGTGCATGCGTGCATGCATTTTAGCGTGTACCCACAACAGTGGTTGGTTAGTTCGAATTCCTTTTGCTTTTTGTCCTGCCCTAAGTAATGCATCAACACAAATAAGCACATCATTACCAACTACTGGTCACCACCACCTGGTGGAAGAAACTGGGAAAAAGACATTTCTACAGCTCTTCTAAGATACTACATTATTCCAACCAACACCCAAAAAAGAGAGACATCCTATTGGAGATCTGTAACTGCTATACTTTCTACTTAGCATAAAGTGAATGCCCAGAACAGTCAGAGTGTTTGCAGAACTCTGCTGCCACCTCTTCCCACCTGGGGAGAGTGTACATATCTGCTGTATAATTAGTATGTCAGCATTTGGTAAGTAAAGAACCCAAATCCAGTAAGCACCTTTGTGCACTTATTGCTGAAGGGCATCTAAATGTAAGCAGGCATCTCTAGACAGGACCAGAAAAATCCATGGACCAGGCCATGGCATTGGAATAGCCCTGAAATATGACTTGTACCTTCCCATTCTGAATTTCTGACTATTGTGCCACACAGCTTAGCAAACACATACCAAAACAGAGGGTGCAGAAACTGTACTATGATATATTTAATGAGTGCCACACTCTGAGTTTGAGATTGGAACGCTTACGAAAAGGCATTGCTGTAAACGTTATGTTCGAGTATTACCTTTGGATTTTTGCCCTCTTTGGCCAGTAATGCACGAAGTCGCTCTTGTGAAGGTGGTGCAATGAAGATAATATATGGTTTCAAGTCTGAATTTCGTAGACTCTTCAGTGACTAATGGGAAATATAAATCTGCACTATTAATATTCATATGGAACAAAGCACAGCCAATATTCATACCAATAATCCACTACCAATACAATTGCAGCATTGCAACAATATACAGGAATAGTGAATTTCTATGCTAATTACACTGGAAGGCTTTTCTCTTGAAAAGCTTGTTACCCATGGAGGAACAAGCTTAGCTACTTAAATATATGCTGTTCTAAAAATTCTTTAGTTCTGAACAGCTACAAAAATGAACTGATATTATATGGTATAAAGTCTTGCCAATGAAAAGATAGTATGTTAACATATGCTTGCAAAGATAGCTACATATAAACAGTAGTTGGGAACAGGAATTGGATACATGCAAGTTAAGCCACATTAGCTATATGAATGTCATAGTTAAAGAAAGTGGCAGACTGGAGAAGAAAACTGCTTTAAGACACAAACATACATAATGAAAATCCCATTTCTAATATAATTATGTGAAACAGACTTTCAAAAAATTCACCCTTGCAATGACTTGCTGTTCACCTGAAAAGAAAGAATGTAATATTCGTGAACAATATGGCTGCAGGTGTTATTTTCAAGCATTTTTAGGATAGTTTTCTGTTTCTTCACATTTAGACCAGGGAAAAGATCATAGAGTTCAACAGCAAGATATGGCGCAATAAACCTTAAATGATAGCTGAAAATAAAAGGATTCTATTAAAAAAATATTTCAGACAGCCTTTCCCAATACGGTACCTTCCAGATATGTATAAATTCAATTCCCAGAATTCTCCGCAGCATAACAGATTAGGGATTTCTGGGAGCTGTAGTCCAACTCATCCGGAAGGCACCAGGGTGTGGAAGGATGGTCTAACATAACTGTGTTTAAAAACTGAAGTAGCACCAAGGTCCCTTTTCTAAACCCGAGGAGCAGTGTTTTCAAAGTCTGGGATCATTTAGTCATTAATGTTACAGAAAGTGATATTCAGTGCAACAACTGACCATGCAATGGGCAACTAATTGCAAATTCTTGCCTACAGAAAAGCAACTATAGTGAGCTATACGATAGTTGCATACACTTGGTCCAAGAGTAAAGTGCATTCACAGAGTGGTTTTGCAGAGGTTGCTTACTTTCAGTATTTTAGCACAAAAAATAAACACTAAAATACCAACAAGAGCATGTTCAAACTGAACTTCTGCAAACCAGCATTTAGCAAAAGAGTGCAAAATTGCGGCTGTCATTCAGGCCCCGAGCCCTGTCTGGAAACCCCCAGACTCCTCTCATCTGCCACCTCCAACACAAAAGCAGGTGCTCTAGGAATAGGCTTTATGATTCCTGTCATACAGCAAGAATCTCATTCAAAGAAGTGGTTGAAGGTTCCTGCTTACTTTCTGGGATACTCTCAGAATATGTTCCTGCTGTATGGCAGGGATCACAGAACATGTTCCTAGAGCACTTTCCTTCTCCCTTTTGATAATTATATTGTGTTGGCTGGGGTAGAGAGGTGCCTTCAGGACCAGACCAAAATATGTTCCTTTTGGGGTGAAAGTAAGTCAGTGGGGTGTGTGGAAAAAAAAGATTTGAATGTACATAAACATCTGGCCTACACACTCCTAACAGAAGTCTGATGCAGCCCTCAGAACTTCAGAAAAAAAATGTTCACAGGTGATCTAGAACATCAGTATTGAGAAGTCCTTTCATTACCTGTGTATGAAGAATTAAGAGACAAATCTTTCCAGAATTGATCACTTGTCGGACAGAGTCTATGCTGGTACCGTACAGATTCTTCTCAAACTCGCCATGCTCAATAAACTTTCCTGCCGCTATGTCAGCCTCAAATACTTGTCGTGATACAAAATGGTAATCTCTGCCAGCTATTTCATTGTCTCTCCTATTTCGTGTAGTGTCTGAAATGGCCAGGAGACAAAGCAAAGTTCAGACCCATAAATCTTTGAATGTGGGACTGCACAGAAGACATTATGTCATGTCAGTTTGCAAAGCTTTATGGAAACAACTTCTTGGAAAGAAACCAGTAGAATGCTCTTGTGCTAAACAAACAACAAAGATCTTGTGTCTTTCATCCAGAAAGGATTACAAACTCTTCACTGGGCTCAAAAATTAGCTCCATAATGCAGTAATTTCTGGCACATGTCCAGCCATGCATAGCACATGTCCAGTCATGCAAATTACTCAGAACAATTGTTTTTTCACATGAAGCAGAGAATGTTGACTGCAACTGAAATTACAGGAACATACACAGGGCAGCAAAATGACATTTGTATAAATGAGTTAAGTTTGTTTAAGTCTGGTCTATGCATGGGGTCAACAGTAACTTCATGTGTGTGGTAGGCATTTTTAATAGCACGCACAAACCCATTTAGGGAAGAATCTAGTGAAGCAACTCCTTTCAAAGCAATGCATATAACATGTACTGAACTTAAGTTGCAAAATGGTATGGGGTTAATTTCAGAATGTAAGACAGACAGTGACCTATCCCATCTTTTCAACTTACGAGGAACTGCAGAAGCAAATCGGTCAGCTTCATTATTCATTAGCCTCTGCCGCAGTTCATTTTGACCACAGTTCTGTGGACCGATGAGGACAATGGGTCGTTTCCTATTTGCTGGTTGGTGATAAAGTGACATTTCCTCATAAGTCAAGATCTCCTCGTTGTCATAATCTTCAAAAAGAAAATCCAAAATAAAATGTGATTTGTTTTCACTACTATGAAATATGCATGCGTTTTTAAAAAGCTGATTCTTTTCTGTAATGGCACTTCTTCATTTTGAGTAACTGGGTAGCTAAGAAACAGACAAGCTCTTGCTAGACCACCCATACTATTTGGATGGGGTTTTAGTTTCACTTCCTTCCTCTTATTTTTAATATTGCAATTCTTTTGGATATTGCATATATGGACAGCTCATTGTCTGCAGGCCATGCATGGCCCCCAACGGATTTTTGTGGTAACTGCACAGGCGAAGAGGAGATGCAAGGAGAGTTGTCCTAGCATGCCATCTTCCCCAGCACAACTGCCCAGTTGCTGGTTCAGGAGACAGCTGCTGGTGGGAGTGAAATCTAAATGAAAAAGATTGTGCATAGGGAGAGTCATGTCCATATACAATCCTCCCCATTTAATTTACCTGCCAGCTGACTGTTCGTGGGGTGGGGAGTGGCATGAAGTCATTGAACCATGCAGAGAGGTGTCACCAGTACACAGATGACATCCAGCTCTATCTCTCTTTCTCATTTAATCCAGGTGAGGCACTGGCAGTTCTGAATCAGTGCCTGGACAGAGGGATGGTCTGGATGAGGCCCAATAAATTGAGACTTAATCCAGATAAGACAGAGGTACTGTTGGTAGGCAGGTTATCTGTCTGGGTGAGTGATAGCTGCCCTGTTCTGGACAGGGTTGCATTCCTACTAAAAGACAGGGTGCATAGTTTGGGGGTGCTCCTTGACCCAGAGCTATCCTTAGAATTTTAGGTGGCTGCTGTGAGAAGGAGCACTTTCCACCAGCTTCAGCTGGTCCATCAAGTGCATCCTTATCGGGACAGGTGGAGCCTAGCAATGGTAATCCAAGCTCTGGTAGCATCCTGCTTGGACTACTGTAAGGCACTGTACATGGGACTACTCTTGAAAATGGTCTGGATACTTCAATTGGTACAGTATAGATAAGCTAGCTACTGACTAGGACTGACAGATGAGACCAGATAACATCAGTACTGCATCATTTCCACTGGTTAGCAATTGAAGTCCAGCTCCTATTTAAGGTGTTAATGCTGACATATAAAGTCCTAAACAGTTTATGGATGGGATATCATCTGCAGAGGTCCTTCTCTGGGAACCTTCTCTGAAAGAGGCTAGCAAGGTTGCTACCAGGAGAAGGACCTTCTCAATGGTAGCACCCTGACTGAAATCTGCTCCCCAGAGAGACCTGGCTCTGACCCTTTATTCTTTTTGGTGCCAGGCTACAACTTCTGCGTTTTGTTTTGTTTGTTTGGTATTTTAACATTTGAATAGTTTTAATATATATTTTTATACAGTACAGTGGTACCTTGGCTCACAAACTTAATCCGTTCCACGACTTTGGTTGTGACCCAAATTGATTGTGACCCAAGTCAAATTTCCCCATAAGATTCAGTGTAAATAAGGTTAATCCGTTCTGTAACTTTTTTTAATTAGAAATTTCGAAACAAAGTGTCAAAGAACAACAAAGTGACAAAGTACTGTACAGTACAATGGAGAACACTAACCTAGGTGGGGGGGAGATTATTTCGAGGGAGTTGTGCATGATCATGGGCACGCTTGGGGGGGAGATGGGCGTGATTGTGGCCACACTCGTGTGGGGGAGACAGGCATGATCGCGGGCGTGCTTGGGGAGGAGACCTCCCCCCCAAGCATGATTGCGATCTTGCCCATGCAGGGAAGACGGGCGCGATTGCGATTGTCACCCGATGCAGAGTTTGTCACCTGAGGAAATTTTTTTTCTGAAATTTCTGTTTGCAACCCAATTTGGTCGTGAACTGAGGCGTTCGTGAGCTGAGGTACCACTGTACAGAAATGAGAATGTATTTGTATTACTTCTTTTTATAGAAAAAACTCTCCACTACTTGGGCAGTTTTCTGCAGGTTTTCCTATCACATTCTTACTGGGATGTATTTTCATTTTAATATAGGCAGGAAGTAACAGAATGAAGTACTAAGACAAACACTGGATTAGTACTTAATTAGCTGTTCCTTGAGTACATATCAAGTATTAATTTGTATGCAATGACATATAAGCAAGTAACATTAGATTTTAATGGGAGCTATCTTTCACAGAAGTGTTAACTAGTAGTAAACATGCTTAAAATGCCTAAACACAGAGGAAGCATTAGGATTTCCCCCCAGCATTAGATGAATTGTTTATAGTAAAGTTAATTACCTTAACATATTTTAATTAAAATTAATTAAATGAATAATGAGCTGGCTACAACCAATGTCTGGTTAGCCAACACACAGACAGAGAAAGTTGTATAATCAAGTCAAGATTATGCACGTGGGGTTTCCAGCTCTTCCCTTAAAGCAGAAACCATTCATCCCCCTGAAAGCTAAGGACTCCTCATAGCAGCATCCTGTGGCACTGTCATCAGGTGGAAAAGCCAGTTAGTTATCTGTACTTCTCTTGCTATGATCTCTTGCTCCTGGTCCTGGTGTAACATGGTGTCCTGCAACAGCAGGGGGCTGCACTCGATGGCCTTCATGGCGGCCCCTTCCAACTCTACTATTTTATGATTCTATAAAAGACAAAGAGAGGCTTGACCACCTTTGAGGGTGCCCAAGCAGAGTTTTTCGAGTGCTTTACCCTCAAGGATACTTGCTGTGTGGGTGGGTGTGTGGGCAGAGGGAGGGAGCTGTGTGTGTGCATGTGGACCCCGTAACATGGCAATCCTGAATTTATTTATTTATTTAGAGTTTTTATATGCCGTCCCCATTGCTACATGGCCTCAGGACGGCTCACAACAACAAATAAATAAAACAAATAGAATTACAATTACAATTAAAACTTGGAAACACACTGGCTGCATAATTAAAACTATAAATATTAAAGATTATTAAAATACTGTTTGAATAAAAAGGTCTTGGCCTGGCACCGAAAAACAAATAACGACAAAGTAAACAAAGGGAAGGAGGGGAAGAACAAAGAGGAAGATAAACAGCAGAAATAATTCATGTTATCTATATTAAACAGTTAATTGCAATTAAGTTATATTTTGTATTGTTAAATAAGCAGCTCAGTTTTGATTGTTGTGTTTTTGGAAAACTAGGAAGGAAGACCCTTGGAAAAAATTGATCAGCTAAACTTAGCCTGTTAAAACTTTATTTAACTAAGAAATAAACCTTGATATCAATTGAAATCCCTTCTTACCATCATTTTTATTGGCATTATACAAAACTTTCTTCCGCTTTTTTTTGTTTTTCTTTGCACACCAAAGTTTCCCTAGAAGTTCAAGAAAAAGAGTCAAAGTTATCCAAATACATAACAAAGCCTTTCCAGTTGAATAATAAAATCATTTATAAAGCATACACAATTGCAGGGGAAATTAAAATTAACACTAGAGAGACTCTGTCCCCGGCTTAGGGCACAATCCCAAACAAAGTCAGTCAGTAAAAAATGCCTACATCTCCCAGCATACTGGCACATGCTGGGCTTGTTTTCAAGCTAAATTTGCATAGGATTGCACCTTTGCAATTTAAAGAGAAAGATGAGATGTTAAGACAGAAAGTAAAAGGAAAAGAAAGCCAGCTGGGATAAGCCAAGTGGAACAGAGATATTGCAAGGAGGTACCTCAATGTCAAAACAGAAGATAGCTGTCATATCAAAAGACAATTACAGGTCCCATAATTAGCTAATTAAACATTAGCTAGAACATGTAGAAGAGAAGTTTACAGAATTTTCACTTTTATTTTGGATGCCAGTATTAGAACAGTCTTTTATTAATGAGAACACACACAGATTAGCCTTGATAACTCCTGGTTAATTTCAAGGCCAAATGATTTCTTATGATCACAGTGCAAATATGTTCAAGGTCGGATGTACCTGCTCATGAAACCACATTGGAAAAACATAACTGTTATTATCTGGGGCTTTGTGGAACTGGAGGAGCCTGTCCTAGCATGGTGCTGTTCTTGGTCTTGAGCCAAAGAGTTGGCATTATACTGGCAGTGCCTTAGCGGCAGTTTCTTAGTTAGTTCAGCCCTTCTCAAGTGTATTGCAATAGCTGAAGATATGGGTTAATTATCAGTGGGGTACATGATCTGCCCTACAAAAGAGAGGGTAGAACTCCAATGTCAAGTTTCTTCTAAGGTTATTAGTTGTTGCAGGCATTCCTTGAACATTTTCACCTACCTGATTTTTCTGGCTCTTTATCTTCCTCTATAGTTTGCTTCATAGCTTCTCTTTGCTGCTGAAAACTTTTTCCTTAATGGTAAAATATACATATAAAGATAATTAGTAATGCAAAAATGTACCACAGATATACTGCTATTTCAAAGGGCACTATATTTCTTAATGGACAAGGAATCTGATTTTTTCTTAGAATTCTGGGGAAAATAATTGCATAATCTTGCAGGAATGGGAGAGAAAATAGCATCATATCTTATGTGCTTACTAAGATTTCAGGACAGGAACCCAAGAAAGTACTTGCTGTACACTGCTTTATATTTAGGAACCCTAACTTGCTCCTGCAATAAACTGGCACTGTAGTGATTCAGCAGCAGCAGAAGCAAAATAGATATAAAAAACAGAAGTGCAAAAGAAACTAGTTCCTACTGATAGCATTAACTGGATGCTGCACTGTCATTATGGGGATTCCTACCTTTTAAATAACAGCTAATAAACTCAGTAACAGCTACACTGTCCAAAGGATATCACTTTCCTAACCCTATTATAATCTTCCGTTCAGCACCCAAGCTATGAACACATTTACTTCTCTTCCCAGATCGATGAGGGCACCTGAAACACAGTTTGCTTTCAAGGCATTTAGCAAGAAGAGCAAGGATACGTTAACATTCTTATCCTGAAGAAAACCACCCAGAAACCTATGCTCTACTACTACTTAAAACAGAATTGAAAAAACAGGACACTTAGGTAAGGATAATTCCTTTACCAAGATTCATGTTTAAATGCAAGCAGCCCAGCACCTGACACATCCTTTTTTAAAGGGCCTATTGTAATGTTATAAATGTTACAATGGTATAAAACATCAAATATAAAATGTTATAGCTTCTTTTGCTCAGGTACACAACAAAGCAGATCTGACCCCATCCAAACAGCCTGATGGTTCACAAAGAACTTTAAACTTTTTAAACCTGCCTCCCCACCCCCATGACTGGCTACCTGGAATAAGGCCTGCCAAAGGCTGATTTTCTTCATCTCCGTCTCGGTAGGCCTGCCACCAGTTTGGATCTTCTTGGCTGATCACATGAAGTATATCTCCCTTTTGAAAGGAGAGCCCTAACTCTCTGCAAGGGACATAGGGATCGTCAGATGGATCATAGTCAAAGTGAGCTTTCACGTGAATCTAGGAAACAAAGAAACAAGCATGGAAATAGAGTGATAATCCCAAGGATTCATCTTTGCTAAAATGTTCCTTCTGAATGCAAAAGATTTCAGTCTCTCATCAAATACAGAAGGACAGAAGTCCAAATTACCAGTAAGGAAGGCAATTAAATGTTAGACATGTTAAAATACTTTTTCATATATTTGGCTAATCGGGATTAGATTTAATGGAAAAACAAATAAAGAGAAAGTGGCCCTTGCTAGAAAGTGGAAGGATTAGCACATGCACCAGTAATTCCCCACTGCATCCCCAGAAAGCCATTCTGCAAATTGAACATGAAGTGGAAAGAAGAGGGCCTTGGGCTCTCTTTAAAATAGAGACCTCAAAGCACTGATTCTCATGTTCATGTAGGGTAGTCCCAGAATCTATGGTGAATCTCATTTTAATTAATGTATTATATTTTTAGTACACCTACTATCAAGAGTACTCTGGGTAGATTTCCTTCTCCTGCTTATGTAAAGTACTGTCTAAGGAAAATGTATTGCTTGAAAAATACTTTCATTTACTTATGTGATTTATATCCAACTTTTCACCAAAAATGGTGAACAAAGCAACTACTGATACTAACACTAAGATGAAGTCAAAAACAAAATTAAAACAGTATTTAAAAAGGAAAGCACAGTTAGAAACACAACAATAAAAAATAGCATGCAACCCTTTGGCAACAGATTGGTATACATGCCTAAAGTTGGCCTGAATCAAAATATATTTGCCTGACAGCAGAAAGGCAGCAGAGGAGGAGCCAGAAGAGCACCCCCAACGGAGAGTTCAACAAGGAGGGAGGAGGCCACTGGGAAGGCCCTCCTCACATCCCCACTAAATGTGCCTTTGATGGTGGTGGGACCAAGGGAAGCATCTCTGGAAAACCTTAAAAACAGGACAAGCTGAGGTGAGGAAATGTGGTCTTTCAGGCAACTTGGTCCCAAGCTGTATAGGACCTGACAGATCATAATGGGCTTTTTAAACTGTGCCCTGAAGCAGACTGATAAGGGTCAGGCTCAGTGGCAGAACACAAGCTTTTCATGCCAAAGGTCACAGGTTCGATCCTGGGTGTCTCCAAGCAGGGCTAGAAAAAATCCTAGCCAGTGCCAGTCAAAGCTGACAATAATGACCTAGAGGCACTGATAGTCTGACCCAGCCTAAGGCAGCTTCATATGCTACAGCAAGGGAGCCCCATGCTCTGTGTAGCAGCCTCCATCGATGCTGTGGTTGTAGCATGTTGGATGGAGAGATGATTCTTATTTGCAAAGGCAGCGTTATGAGAAGCTTGCTACAATAGTCCAAAAGGAGTATGGCCAGACGTGACATCACTTGGAATGGGTTCAGTTGGTACATTCGCCTCCACTGAGCAATGCATGCCTGGTAACCACCAAGCCTGGGCATTCAGGTTCAGGCTGAATCCAGAAAGAAAAGCAAACTGCACACTTGAATTCAAGGGAAGTATAACCACAACCAGCACAGGCTGCATTCCTAATTTCTTTTGATGAGGCAGGAACACATCTCTCTTGCTAGATTAAGCTCACATTTGTTTGCCTTCATCCATCCCATCACTTACACTTAGAGACTGAGTTTTACTATGTTCTTCCCTCATATAATGAATGGACTGTCTCTGTTGCATATTCCAAAAGAGATATAATAAGTGATCTTTAGGTGATGCCCAAGACTATTGAAACTAAAGATTCTGGTATCTGTTTTCAAAGCAGAGGTATAATCAAATACAGTCTATCCTTCAATGTAGTAGAAATATGAGATTGTTAAACAACACAAAACCAAATCAACGAAATACTCGCAGTGTAGTTATATACTGTAAACAGGCTACAGTCACATACCACAGTCTCCTTTGTAGGTGGTGGTTTGCTCTGTTGACTGGGAATCAGTACAAATGTCAGCGTACCATGCATATCCGCCTGTGAGGGAAAACATCAGTAAGTAACAGCTTATAACCATCCTGAGATTGCATGGTAAGCAAAAGCAGTTTGGACAGGAGAGAGAAATTTCAAGTAGTGCTTGCCAGTCTTTCTTCTTTCTGAACTGTAATTCTAGTTTCCCTATCTCCATTTGGATGTGCTCCAGCACATTTGTACGAAATACTATTTTCTTCTTTTCTGATCTATTGGACAAGGCAGAAGGACAATGTAAGCAACAAGCCTGGCAGCATATGTTTCAGGCCACTGTTGGGAAACAATAAACTTTATTAGATGGACCTTTGATCTGATCTAGCACAGCATTCTTGTGTTTACAACTCAATTCCAGGTCTAACCATCAACAGAGAGGATGGGCCAAGATGATGCTAGGCTAGGTGTTAGAACAATAAAGATATCACTCAGATGGAGCTCCAAGTGCTAATCAGCTGGAATTTAGGAGGTAAATGGGAATGGCACTCAGAACCAGGAAGAGGCTACACAGAACGTAATGTATAACTTGCCATCTATGTACATGGTAAACAGTTATGACAGGGTCCTACCCCAAATGGTTTACAATCTAAAATAGACATAGGGAACTAATGGAGAAAGGGACAGAGAATACAGGCACGGGTAGGCAAAGGAAGAATATGTGATTATTTCAATTATACAAACTTTAAGTTAGTTGCAGTAAGTTACTGCAAGGTCTTGGTTTTCAGTGAGAACAAACTTGGGTGTTCAAAAAAGGAAAGATTATGGAAGGAGCAACAATTCCAGAAGGAACAAGACAAAGGAAGCAAGAAGAGGTAGAAAGATAAAGAAAAAGGACAACAAAAGATGGACCAATCTTGGGAAAAGTTTGTGCCATGGACCTCTGGTAAGAGTTCATTTCATAGTTTCATATCAATTTGTTCTCTTGCTCTGTTCTTTCCATAAATGCATTAAAAGCAAACACTATCAGAACGAACACCCCAAATTCTAGCTCAAAACAAACAAGCTGCTAGCTATGCAAGGTGCATACTTTTTGAACACACTTCAGCAAAATGTTTCTACCTCTGACTTGGAATTCAACAAATGTAAATCTACGCCTAACAGGTTTATATAAATCAACAGTTTAGAACACCACAATAGTAAAAAAAAAACCCCAAAGAGATCCAACCTACCAATAAGTCAAAAACCTCATTAACATCTTTTCCACGAATTTCAATTCCATTAATTTCCAGAACTTCATCACCTTCATGCAATAGGCCACTCTTCTCTGCCGCACCTCCCTTCACTATTCGGCTAATGATGACTGAATCCATTTCGTTGCGTACTGTAGCACCCTGCATTATTGAATAGGACAATGTGAAAATATCAGAAAGATCCTGTAACTGAGCTGTGGTGTAATAGGCTATATAAAAACCAGGAAGATCAGGTTCAGATCAGGCTAGACATGCACATGGTAGGCATGTCATGAGTGGAGCCGGCTGGAGCCAAGGGTCAGACTAGATGGCCCAGGAGACTTTTCTGACACGCCCTGTTTCTATGTTTCTAAATCCCAACTGGGAATTTTAAGGTCAGTTTTAATTTCAGTCTACCCTACTTCATAGGGCTGTTGCAACCACAACAAAATATCATATATCTAAATACTACCCTGAATTTGTTTCAAGATGGACATACAAGTTCCCTACAGTTTCTAAACATTTTTTTGTTTCTATAGGTAGCACACAGGAGAACATATATTAAAAAAACAAAACAAAACCAGAGAATGGTCCCATAGTATGTTTAATAAGGAGAGCATGCATCCCATTAAAGCATAGTCCTCATGCTTTTAGACTGCTTCTTGGATTCTTATGTTGTTTTATTATGTCTTTTGAGATTAATTCTAATTATTTAATGTTATTCTGGATGTTACCTTCTAATGTTAATGCACACTCCAATATATTTCATATAATATCTAGTGAAGGGAATGAAAACAGATTGATTTATGTACAGATCCTGGCATTCTAGTGGTTACAAAGTATTCAGGGTGGCTTATGGCAATTGATATGAATTATATAATGTAAAACATTCAATAAAATAAAACAAACATGTTCAGCAGATAGCAAGTGTACTGGATAAAAGGAAAAGTGAAGACCTGCTGGAACAGGAAAGTTTTTATAACCTGGTGGAATATGGAGAAGGTGGGCAACTGAGCCTCACAGGGCAAATAATTCCTTAGTTATAAAAATGTAATCAATACTACATTGATTGAATACTAAAAGCCTTCAATAGAAGCAGCTACTGGAATAAGACAGATAGGGATAGAAGAACAATTGCATAGATTAGCATTACCTGGATACCTGGAAGGAGCGCTTACATCCATATATGCCCAGCCGCCCCTTGAGATCAGTGGGAGAGGCCCTTCTCCGGGAACCCTCCGTGAAAGAAATTAGGAGGGTGGGTACTTGGAGGAGGGCTTTCTCTGCGGTAGCGCCTAAGTTATGGAATGCGCTCCCCAGAGAGGTCTGCCTGGCGCCGTCGTTATTTGCTTTTCGGCGCCAGGCGAAGACCTTTTTATTTAAGCGGCATTTTAACTGTTAGTATTATTTGACCTTATCTGGCCAGGGCGGCTTATTTTATATCGTATTTGTTGGATTTTTAATGTTTATATTTATTGTAATTTATTGTTGTAAGCCGCCCCGAGGCTTCGGCGAATGGGGTGGCATAAAAATATTTTAATAAATAAAAAATAAATAAATAAAAAATCCACTTCAAGCATATAGCAACCATGTGGCTAAGCCAGCTCTTGTGCTGATGATTCTGCCTCTAATTACTAACCCTCACTAATGAATGCATTATATTAAACCAAGTTTTGAGCCAGCTATAAATGGGACATAGACAGTTATGTCCTTGCTGTCACCCAATCTATTGTGTAAAAGAGAAGGCTAGCTCCAGGTAATGGTGAAGTGGTGAAGAAAACTGGGTTGCCATGAGGTCCTGGTACCTGAGGGTAACTAAAGAACAATAGTTTGTGGTAGAACAGCACAATCCTTCAGAGGGCATCTTGAGCATAGGTGTTTATTGCATTATTATTCCTGGAAGAAATTCTGGTAAGACCACATACTGGCCTTAAGAGCAACATCATTGCCAAATCTGTATCTTAAACTGATTTTTTGGAAGAATGTATTTTCTGTCACAGATCAGATTTAAACTGTGCTTATGTAATACAGGAATATCTTTAAGCTTAACTTCTCAAGAAATGATTAATTTTACACTCAAGAACACACTGGAGAACACCCGCAGAATCTTTTTACAGCAGAATGAGCCAAAGCGAATCACTCCTCAATTTCCTATTCCATTCCACAGAAACATTGGTAAATTTAAAAAAGAGTATGTATGTATGTCCCTTCTCTTATATTTGAGTGAATGTGTCAGTATTCTTTTGCTTTGTTTTGTTTTAAAGTGGAGAATGTGCCACAAACATCAGACCAACTGAGAAAAATAATATGGAAGCCACCTTGGAACTTGACCCAGAATACTCACCAATGGAATATCTCTAGCCTTCTCAATGCGAACTATTTTAACTGTCTCACCTCCATATAGACCAACATTCTCATAAATCTTTTCATCTGTCACTGGCTCTGGTTGCATTTCCTGCTCAGCAACTTTATCATGAGCCAAAAGCAGTGCCTGGTGTAAAACAAACAGAGTCATTTATAGAAGGTTACATTCACACAGTGAGATTAATTTGTATTAAGTGGGACAACTTAAGAATTCCACCAAGCAAATATAGAGCTCTATCTTGTACAGAGAGGTGCAGCACAGCCATATTCCAGAACAAGATGCTGTGAGTTTATAAATAGAGACTGTGAAAATTAATGCAACATCTCTGCTCAACTGTTATCATTTTACGAAGAAGCATGCTGCCTGTATATGACAGAACATCTGACTAGGCTTGTATCATATGCTTTTGTCATATGAATTATGCTTCAAAGCATATGAATATTGTTTCAAAGCAGCAATATGTGCACACGCACACAGCCTAACATACATAGCTAGAATTTTGAAATTTATGTTGCAGATGTTTTTACAGCTGAAGAGGTAAACAGTGCATTTATCTGGCAGCAAAAGACATGGAGGGCACAAACATCAAATGAAACTCCAGTTGTTATATGACACTCTATGCTTCTGCCAGCATACAATTATTCGATCATATGGGGCAAGAAAAACATGCTTTTTATGACACATACTTTAAGAAAGCAATGGAAATAGTCAACGCTTTCAAATAAACTATTAGTTCCCACCTGAATGTGAGGGGCATTTAATAGAGAATTAAGTTCCAGACCGTCTTTCTGGTGGCTTGGTTTCAGAACACTCTGCACCTGAAAGACAGGAGAACACAAAAATATGATGCTTTGCATCCTACGCATACACATACCACAAACTACAGTACAAGAATCACTTTCATGTAATTGGGATATGTTTCATCAGTAAACACAGCTTCCCAACTCCTATTTCTTAATCAGGTAAAGTATTAGAGGATGTGTGTGTGCATGTGTTTTCAATAAAGAAGTGTAACACTGAGGTTGCTTAACCTGTTCCTTCATTCAGTTTCTCCTCACTGTCTGGAATAGTGTGTGTAAAGCAAAATACGATGGTCAAAATAGAATTGAGCATTTCCTTCTGCCAACACTCCCTTAGAAGCCTTTCAACCAATGCATTCACCCAATTTAGCTAACATAGGATTCCAACTGTTGTTTATAGATATTGTGCTAGTTCCATCCTAAGCTCTTGGTAATTAATGGAATAATTCTTACCATTAAGTAATGTTCTGACTGACAGGTACTATGATCTTCTACAATGTATGGTGCAATTCTTACCAGCTTGTTTTTCTACAGACTGGTATTTTCACATAGCAATTCATACAAACACATGGAAAATATATTTATAAAATGTAGGAATGATTGAGGATTTGGGCAAAGCTGCCTGAGATGGGAAAAAGCCATTTAAAAATATGCATATAAAGGTAACCAGGCAAAGTTAATTTCCAAAAGAAAGGAAGTCTGATCTATATACAGACTATCAGTTTTGCACTTCAGAGGGAATATCTCCCTCAGCAGGACTGTGGCACTAGCTTTGATCCATAATCAGTTGCTTAGGAACAGAAAAGGATAAAAAACATGTGTGTAAGCTTCTTTGGTCTTTTTCTTGATTCAAATGGAAGCCAAGCAATAGAGTTGCCATGTTGACTCAACAGAATCTCAAACAGCTGATGCAGTCAACTTATTCTTAAAGGAAACTTCAGAAGAACTTCAGAAGTATATATTTTGTCTAAAATACACTTTACCGTATGTAATTAACATGATCTATATTAGCCAACAAATATTGTGCACTTTTTCAGTAATTAAGAAAATATCACACATTTTGGATCGATTGGTTACATTGTCTACCTTTTTGAACCTTATATAATTTTAGTTTATTAGAAAACTCATGTATTCTCCTTTCCTCCTTTTCTATCAGTCCATTCTGGGGTGGGAGAGGACCTCTAGCATTTAGCAGATCAGATTTTTGTTGCATGGACCATAACTTGTATCAGCTCTTGACTGCACTTAATGCAAAAGTAATTGAAAGTACAGCATGTAAAAGGAATTCTGCAACCATTCCCTCCACACAGCTCCTCCCCAAAAAACCCTCTTCTAACATTAGAAAACTCTTGATAAAGTCCTGGAAAGTGGGATGGGAGAATACAATGGCAAGAAGGAATCAAGAAAAATAGGGAGGAAGCTGCTTGTACAAGCTGATTTTACCAAAAAAATTTTTTTTAAATTTTTTTTAGCATTCAATCTTTTCCAGCTGACAATAAGATTAAAATCAGGATAATTAAAAATTAATACAGTTGCTATTATATTTATTAAACTCCTGATAAACCTAAGTCACTGCTGCAACAGGAGGCTTACTAGGACTTGACTTGTGCATTTTTCAGACATTCTGCAAGGTGATAATAATTAAGTGATACTGATTTAAATTAAATCTAGCTCTCTGAGAGGCAATAATAAAGCTTCTGACTTAACAAAAAAAATATTGTTCACTTGGGTATTTTATTTGGATTGTTCTTCTGTTCTGATATCCAGTATAAGATATTTCTGTCATAATGAAGTGTGATATTTGTGTAGCCAAACCATTCTTTCCTCCTGCAAAGATATCGTATTTGGGTCCTTTTGGTCATATGAATTGGTTGAGAAAGGTTTACAGTTCTTTAGGGCACAGTCCTATTGATTGTAGCCTCAACTATTAGAAGCCCTTGAGCTCAGAAGCCTCTAGTTCTGTACTGCAGGGCAGGAGCAGCTGTGGAGGTAATCTTTGCCTCCCCATTCTCCTGCCCTGTGTTTTTCGTTAGACCTTTTACCTTGTCAAACTCAACTTTTTAGCCTAGCTAGAGCTGACACTTTGGAATGCAAGGGGATGGAGAGACCTTGGAATAGCTCATAATCCTCACCTCTCCACACTCCTCCCAACGCCACCCAATGAATCACTTCTCCCCCCTTTCCCCAGGTCACTGTTCTGACCTTGGCAGGCAGCCAACCAGCCAGCAAGGATCTTTCCATGTCAGGTGTGAGGGGTCAGGCAAAGGGGGTGGCGATCCTTCTCCACTTTCCGGAGTTGGAGTGCTTTCTCCTGCCTTAGAGGGGAGAATCCCCAGTATGCAATGGCCCCTCAAATGAGTCAAACAATTGCTCCCAATCTTTCCCTTTAGTACTCAGAATAAAAAAACACTAGAAATTGCCATTTGCCTCTTATAATGTGGTCATATGGTTTTTATACAATAGGTTCACTGTTAAAGAAATTCTTAAATATGTATTTTCCTACTTCATTACTAGCCTAACTTTCCAATTGTTGTTGTTGTTGAAAAATCAAGCTTATGTTTCCCTAACCCTCGGTCTCAATTTTGTCAAGTTCAACTGGCTTTGAAATCAAATTAATTAATTTTGATGTTCAATGGCTATTTTTGTATCAGAGACAATGTGCACCACATTATTTAGGGAGTTAATCTCCACATAAATTCCTTAAGCCTGCATGCTTTACTCAGCCTTCTAATTAAATTAAAGTTTCAGAAAAATAGATAAATCATATTTTCTTTGCCTTGTTATTAAGCAATTTAAGGAAATGCATACTGTGCTAACAAAATTATTCAGCATTTAAACAAACTATAGAATTTATAATATTCCTTCTGCTGAATTTGCAAACTTTGATCAATTAGTAATGGAATTACTCTGCTCCAATAGGGCGTGTAAGCAGCATCTGTGTACTTCATCTAAATTATTCTAAAATATTTCCTGTCAAAGCTGCCTTCATTAGGAAGTCTAAATTGCTTCCTCTAAACTTGAGTTTAAAGAGCAATTTATGCTTTGAGAATGCAAGAATAAATGTTTCATGAGCACTGATAGGAAATTTCCCGCAACTGCAACAGCACAATCACCCCAGTGCCTTAAGTCTCCTTAATTCTATATTGTCAGAATTTGGTTTGGATCCAGTGGTGCTGTTCCAAAAGCAAAACAAAACAACTAGTGAAATGCATTCCCCCCCCCCCCCCCCCGTAGTCCCTGCATGTCCCCCAACTCTGCTCCAGAGGGTTCAGGGCACTCCAGGAATGACCTGAGGAGGAAAGGGGGCTTCAGGGAAGAGGAGAGGATCAGGAAGTCCCACCATGCAGACAGACATCCTGTTGCATGAGTGGACACTCACTTGCGCAGTGTTGCATTTAGCTGCATGTATGAAATACGTCACAGAGAAAGGGACAGAACCAAAAATTGTCTAGGCAGAGGGCCCAAACGACAGAATAAATTTAACAAGCTTTGGTTCTCAATGTGTGACTAGCCCATTTTAAACAAAGAGCTCTGTAAGAGTTCTTCTGACACTATAGAAGATTAGAAATGAAGCACTAGAAGATCTGAAATTGTCTTGCAGTAGTGAATATGAGAGGGCTTAGGAAAGTAATTTTCTTTTTACTGATCCAGGCAGGCTTCCATTTTGATGGGCATGATGCAGGAGGTCTTGAAAATGGATCAATATCTGTAATTCACTGGAAAAATGTATTTTGCCAACTGCATATTCCTTAACATGAAACCTGATTGATATGAAACTAGCCCCTCTGAATAAGTAATTAATAACTAAAAGGTGACTTCCCTGTTTTTCTTAGATAACACCAAATATATGTACAATATTATAGTTTATTTAGCCATAATTGAGAATGTATGGCATGTGTATATAAAAATAGACTTTAGTCTTCAGTCCTTTGAAGAAATATTATAAATGTTTATTATTAATACTACTATTGCCACCATGGCTTCTCATCTCAACCAGTCAAGAAACTGCAAATAGCCAGAAACAATTTGGATGTAAACATTTTAAACAATAGAAGAACTACAGAGGCCAGAGCTGCTTTGCTGATAAGGCTCAACACAGTAGCCTGAATTTTTAGACCATTCTGGTGAAGAGGTGGCTAAGGGGCTGTAATTATGAGAACTTGCACAATACTGAGAAAACGGAACAAGTCACATTTACTCCCAAGTCATGTCTACTTTAAATTTATCTAGTTATTACGGGCACATACAAACCACAGCAACATGTCCTGACAATATGCCACAGTAGGTTGGCTGTTGTGTGAGCAACCTGCTGTGTGTCTGACACCTAACTGGGTACACCATGGGTTGCTGGCCCCTCCCCACCTTGGTCCCCTTGCAGGCACACCAAGGATGCCACAGGAGGATGAAGTTGTCCCCTGGGATTTTTAGAATCCCAAGCTGTTTCTAAGAATGGCTCCCCCCCGCCCCCCATTTACACTTTTCCCTCTTGAGATTGCAAAAGCCACTGGTCAAGCTGGCTTTCGTAATTCCTGTTTTGGCAGCTATGGGCAGTGTCTTCACAGTGCCACATCAGAATCCTGGAGGGACTACCTGTGGTTGCCAACATTTTTTAATTTTTTAGTTTGTTCCACCCTTGCTTTTGTTTTATTTATTTAACTGATATTCTGCTATACTAGTCCCAAAGACTCTCTAAGCAGATGTTTTGCTGGTGTCCAATAGCCACCCCAATTTTCACAAACGTTTGAAAACAATTCTTTAAATACTTGCACAAATGTGAACACCCACAGTTGCATGGGAATGAGAAGCATCAGGTGTGCAATGTACATTGGGAACAGGACACGAAACAGTCATATTGACCTATACACCTGTATACTTTTCTGCCATTTTGTTTGCATGACCTTCCTTGCACCTTGCCCACCCAAGGATCTCTACTTCTGCACCAGAACCTCCCACCCCCGCACAATTCTCTCTCTCTCAATTTTCTCAAATATCAGCAAAGATTATGGATGAATAAAAACATGTTTTTAAAAGTTTAGCAACCATGAGCAGTCCCTCCAAAGTGCCACTGGGGCAGTTTGAAGTAATTGTCTTCAGCTGTCAAAACAGAGATTGCAAAAGCAGGCTGAACAGCCACCTTTTACAATCTCAAAAAAGATTGTTTAAAGTGAAAAAAGCCACAGTGAACCCAAGGTGTCTTGCAATCATGCCAGGGAGGTGGGGAAGTCAGTCTAGCTGCTCCTTTGGCAATCTGGGGGCAGGTCGCAATGGCAATCATCTGAGTCCTGTTTGGCAAGAGTGGCAAGGGGTTTTGTCACTCTTGCTGAGAGGCTCAATAATGGGTGTCTAGTACGCACTACAGGATTAGTTACACTGGTTCAGGTGACATGACAGGCAATAATATGTACAACAACTCCTGCTATAACCCATGGGTTGTCAGTGTGGTTTGTTGCCCTCAAACAAGACAGCCTGTGGGGACTAGTTCACATTTACAACCCATCACAGCCAGCAACCTACAGTGGGCTGTTGTGTCTCGCAAACCCAGTCTCTAACTTATCAGCACAACAGTACAATAGAAAACATGAGTCAACATCACAGAGGAGACAAAAAGCAGAAAATAAACTCAGCCATCTATTGAGATGACAACCAAGCTCACAGGCAAAAGTCAAGCTTATACTTGCCATATTATGTTGTTACATCTCCACTCAGTTTTGTTTCCAGATGCCAATAATTTAGAAACAATAGTTCAGTGCTGAATAAAATTCTATGGGTGCTTCCCGATAAGGTTTTTATCGCTTCATTACCTTGGCTTCTTTCAAATTTTATGCGGGCCCATAAGTCATCATCATAATCCTCCTGTATTTTCCCATCACTTCTTTTATCTTTTTTCCTTAATACAAAAAATCTATTAAGGGAAAAAAGATGGACTAGCACTAACTCCAGTATTTCAAAGGGCATGCTCTGCCCCTGCTGTTTCTCCTATGACCCCCACTGCTTCTGCAAATGGTGATTTAATGGTTCCAAGGACAATTGAAAATGCTCATTTCTGGTGGAAGGCAGCTTGCGTACGTGAGAGTTTCCACCCATTTCTGGGATTTCTCTAGGGAGCACTAAATCTCCCTTGTGCGAGTGATAGGTCCTGTTTGTGTAACACAATCAGCAGGACTCAGTGCACGTGAAAAGGAATCAGTGGGAAAGAAGAGAACTGGCAGAAGTGTCAGCACCCCACTGTACACCACCACAGAAATCCTCCGTCTGGAAGCACCCAGTGATCTTCTCTCATATTTATGTATTGAATGGAATCCCAAGAGCTTCTTCAGGCACCGCCAAAGGCTTATGCATGCCACGTAGCATTCTTTTCACTGTTTCTTTGCACAGATTACCATGTCATATATTACATTATGCTTTCTGCAATTCCTTTAAGTCAAAACTACTTGGTATTTGACATGGTGGTCTTCTGTTTAAGAAACACAAGCCCAATGCCCCCTTGGACAGCAGAACAAGTCAAGAGTTCCACTGGATCCTAATCACTGAATTGTATGCAAAGATCTAAGCCTGAAGGAGGACATTTACAAATGTACTGAATTAAGATATTGACTATTGATGCTATTTGTTATCTCAAATTTCTAGTTACAACATTTTGCTTCTCATATTTGAAAATAATTATTTTCTGGTCAACGAAAAAGAGAGTAACTTAGGTTATGCACAGGTTTCTTTCCTATCTTTGTAGCATGGTCTATCTTTATTTTAATAACATGTCTATGTTGGTAGTTTGGAATAAGAACACTGCCGGTAGTTTTAATTATTAGATAGGAATGTTCACAATACACACCTCTTGTGCAAGCTCTTGCGCATTGGAGATAAGAGGGTATGGAGGACTTGTCTTGTTCATATGGACTGTAACAGCATTGTGTATCTTAAAAGCATTTTGAAAGTCAGCATTTTGCACAAGCTGTAAAATAAGAGCTATTTCCTCTTGACTTTGGGGGTCTACCAGGGTGTGCTGCACATGCTTAAGAGACGACAGCAGTTCATCAACTTCTGCAAAAGAAACAAACATGCATTAGTTAGCTTGAATGCAACAGTTACACCAAACAAACACCACAATCAGAACATAACCCTGATATGGAATTGTTTATTCTTTCCAGCACTATTGAAAGCTACACTGAAGAAATTATCATGACAACAGCAAGTCAGTGCAGAAAACTGCCTTAACAAACTGGTTACACACGAAGTGAAACAAACTTCTTTCCAATTGATTTTGTTATCTAATCCTTTGGTAAACCACAGAGAAATACATTTGTTCAATACAATATTTTTTCTACCTAAATTCACATGTTCAGATCAAGTCATAATGCACTATTGTCCAATAAACCCCAACATTTACACTGAAAGATAGTTAGTTTATTAACCATGCTTTGCTTAGCGCTACTGTTGCCAGTATGTCTCAAATCTTTGGAAACTACCCCTCTGCCCACTTTTAAGTTTATGCTATCCTCCCAAATTCCCAAACACAGTGTGCATAAAATGTTACACAGATACATGGGCAGATTATCTTGCATGTAGTAGCTCCAGTGTATTTGAAACTGTGGCCTGTTTAGTAAATCCCACTGGAATTAGAGGAATCGATCGGGATCTGAGCCCTTTCCAATGCTACGCAAGAACACAAATAAGAACAAAGCAGGACATCTCTTTCTGAACTTACTGAGACGTCAGGGCAGCAAGAATGCAGTCACCCCCATAAATTCGGTATGGTTCATTGAGGGTTCTTTATCAAGGGACTTTCAGTCTATGTAGATCTTGGTATGAGAGGCTGGGGACAGAAAGCATCCAAATCCTACTCCTTGGTGAAATTTCACATCATCTATTTGGCAAGTCACAGCTCTGCGCAGTACTGCTCCTACTGATATTATTCTGAACGTAAAGGTTCTTAAAATCACTGGGTTATACTCAGATGATTACACAAATGAAAGAAAATTATTCCCTTGTGTCAGCACTACTGAGCTAAAGTCACAACTCTCTTCTCTGGCTAAAATCCAAAGAATTTAATTAGGGAGGCTGAAGGGAAGAGGATGATGCAAAGAATGCTTTCTCATTCCACAATGCATCATATATCCTGAAATGTGAAAGGAAAAGATAACAGATGAGCTCTTAAAGTTATATTCTGCCATCCAAATGTTAAAACTCTAACTAATTTCACCATCTTTCAAAAATACATGGTATTTGAAGGCAAAATATTTGACTACCACCCTTCACAAGGGTTTTCAAGTGAATATCTAGTATTTGGTGGGCTGCATAGTTATCTAAATTAAAACATTTAATGAAAGCCAACAACAAAGCCTCCTAATGGAGTCATATTTAGGAAGTGAATACATTATTATATTGAATATTACTACTGCAGCAATATTTCTGCACTTTCCAAGCATATTAGAAACATTTAAAACCTATGTGCGGGCTACACTACCTCTAGCCTGCTTAACAGTTTGCCCTACTCCTACTAACAAAGCTCTCGTATCACATTTCTTGTCTCCTAGTATTCATTCTCATCCTTCCCTGTCCTCCCTGCCACCACAGAAATGCTCACTATCTCCAGCAGTTCAAGGAATCCTGATGACAGTTCTTGAAAGGGTCAGGTTTACATTTCAGATACAGCAGGGCAAGTCACAGTCTGCCCTACAGCAGGGTAAGGTTCCATAAAAATAGGCAGTAATATGTTAACAGTGAGATTCTATGGAAACTCACGCAGAAATAAGACAGACTGAACTCAGAGGACTCACTCCTAATCAGACAAATGTGCACAGGACTGTAGTTTGAAAGTGTACTTCCCTGTGCTCATTTCAGAAACATGAACAGCTAAAAGGTTGTAGGAAAGCTTGCAAAGTTGGAAATTAAAGAAAGGCAAAAGTATTTCTACTGCTCAGATACAATAAGGAGGAATCTCTTCCACCTTGGCTTCAGAAATAACTACGAACAAAGCACTACAAACTTAATTCTAGATTTTACTAAAGTCCAAGTGACTGTACATCCACCACCTCATGAAAGTGCAAGGGCTCCTGCAGAAGCAAAACGATGTACACCATTCCGTTCCATGATTTTACAAAAGCACCATATGTTCACCCACACTCCTATGTATACACGTATCCCTCAACCTCCGAATCCCAGATAATATTTGCTAAAAGGTGATCTGCTCCCATTAAAACATGTTTCTTTTCAATAATGTAAGTTCTGTTGAATGCCAAAGGCATTCCCTACCTGAAACTCATTTCTTTTCTTCTGAGCTAAGAGGCATCTTTTGGAGGGCTTCAAGCAGGGAAAATATTCAATGTAACTATCACCCCAAAGAATAGTGGAGAATAAAAAAAGATGTGGCAAATAAAAAGAAGAAGAAGGGAGGGTACTTTTCATGATGACAGGAAAGCAAATGAGAAGGAGGGAAAGGAAATTGTTGCTAGGTCACATTAAATAAATATTACAGGAGTCATCTCTCAAGAACATGAGAAGATTAAATACATTCTTGTTGTGGGACACCCAGCCAAGTAGCAAATGAAAAATTTGTTTTCTTTTGGAACCTCAACATTGAAGGCAATTCATGGTATGATTCAAACATGACATAGCCTAAATATGACATATCCTAAATATAGGCAGATGTTCAAGTTAACCCTGGGAAGACAGAAAAAGCAGCTGTGGGTCCCTTGCTTTTTATTTATCACACCAAATTCCAGCTACGGCCTCTTGCATCCTGAAGAAAAATCACAAAGACAAATAGAAAAAAGGGCATACTATGTGAACGAGAATTATTTAGGGTTCACTTTTACTTATTTAGGGTTCATTTTTACTTATCACTGAGCAATGTATATGTAGTATTTGGTTTGTTCGGGTAGGATTTTTGAAGGTATATAATTGTGTGACAAGTTAGTAAAGGAAGAATCAATGGGAGGGTTTGCATGACACAGCAGCCCCCTGGGAATTTTAGTCACACACTGCAATCAAAAAATCCTTGTGTCCAACAGAAGACTATGCATGTGGAGAGGCTAGGGTGCCTTCCACTCCCTCACCTTTTCACCTCAGTCCTTCCACCTGTCTCTCAGGGGACACTATGGAGATACTGAGGGAAGCAGGGATGATGGCTTCCTTAAAGTGCCAAGCAGAACTTTGGGGAAGCTGTCAGAGCTTCTCCTCTCCACTTTGCCTTGTGGAGACACTTCAGCTGAGCAGTACCTCCACTTGATGGATGAATGGGGGAACCACATACTCTGGTTGCCTTACTCCCTGAGAATAAGTCTAGCAGTGTGAGTCACTTTAGATCACCAATGCAGCAGAAGGACTGTTGCCTCGGCTGTCATTTAAAGAGTCCAGTCTACTTGTCTTGGGAATAAGGCTAAAGACTGGATCCCTTCAGTGTCAATCAAAGGCACAGTACTGACAAGCAGAACTACTCCCACCCCAAGTGAGGAGGAGCCACCCTGTTTGGAGGGAGATAAATTCCAGTGGGCTGAAGATGACTTCGCTTCCCAGCTGGCTTCACTTGACCCCCATCCCTATCCTCATTTGCTTGTGGGCAGCTTATCAAGCAAGGCTAGGTGGGAGAAGATGCTTTCCTCTTGGACTAGACAGTAGTAGGCCATGCAGGGGAAAATGCCCCCTCAACCAACTTTGTCAGCTGTCATCATCTAGAGCTACCTGATCAGAGGTACATCACTTTTCTGCCTTTTCTTGCTACTGGGCTCTGTATAGTTTTGGTGTCACTATAGCTAAATGTGTTGTCTAGGTCTAGATGACATGCTAAGCCATAGGCCACAAAGTTTAATAAACCACGTAACAATCCATGGCTCACCTTCTATGGAAAGCATGCTAGGTTTAGGCAATATGTTAAACCACAGTGACTTATAAGCCAGCATAGTTTAATGTGTCCGCAGAACCCAGTCGATGTATCCAAGAATATAATGATTCACTAACATCAGCAATTATAAATTGCTTCTCCCTAACTAAAAATAAAAATAGTACAGGATGTTTTCCACACCCACATATCTTAACAGAATCTGACAGCTATCCAAACAAGCCAGATATTTTGAACTTCAGCAAAATTGTCAAATCCTGAACTGATGAATGTAGAAAATGGAAAAACAGGGCACGATCACAGAAAAATGAAGTTTTCAGAAAAGACATTACAGTACAGCTCCTAAGTGCTCATTTCCTTCTGCTTATTTTTTATAATTTAAAGATGTGAATATACATGAGCTGAACTAGGATTCCTCAGAAGCACAACTGTTTCTAAGACTAAAAATTTAAATCTAGTTTATATTAATTCACAAATGTGGCACAGAAATATGACAGCTGCCCTTCAGAATTCCTCAGATGTTCAAAACCCATGAACTAGTATTTATCCTTGGTTTAGGTACTTCTACCCTAATGCAAGAACAATGAAGCAATGGTAAAATTTCAGTCTTCTTTACTATAATTCAAACATATATAAAATATTGAAAGGTATCCAGAGTAGAGAAAAGAAAACAATTAATGGTTAGTATTCCATCCCACTTTACACTTGCATCAAATTCCAATGGTCAGGTGCTAACATATGGGAGAAAATATCCCTGACCAAATGGGAAGTAGACTTTTCCAGATTTGAATATGACACATAATACCCAATTCCTATCTTGCTCCTAAAACATTTAGAGGCTCTTCCATGCTCATTCTCAAATACTACCAAATCTGCATTAGCTAAGCCAAATGGATCTAACAATTTCTTAGCTCCACTGTAATGGTAGCTGTTATTGTTATGATTGATAGCTACAATACTATGCACACTTACAAGGGAATTTGCTTCCCAAAACTTATTTCTGAGTAAATATGCATAGGACTAGACTGTAATATAATTTTACCTAAGAGTTGCTAGTGATATCCCAGCTTTTTTGATGGCAATGCTTAATGCCAGAATTGTTACAAAACAAATCACAAAGTGGTGATTTATAAACCTTAAAAACATCTTTATATAAATCATAAAAATTTATAGACCTTATAAACATCTTGTTGTATTAAGGCCA